CCCAATTGCGTTCTCTAGCATCATTCCGAGAATGGGGAATAGCGCTGCAGGCATGCGTATCAATTCTGATGCAAAATTTGTAAATAAAAAAAATCAACAGTTTTGTCAAAGTAATGGATATCACTTTTTGGACAATGACAAAATTTTCAAAGAAAATAATAAAATAGTCCAATCTCTGTATGATGATAGTGATCATATTTCAAAATGTGGTGCAGACCAATTGTACAGTATGACTTCGTTTTTCATTAATGGAAAACAGATCAGAGTGGCACACTTTAAACAGTACACTCACAAGACCAAATCGTAATGTTTAACGGTGATACAGATGTAATTTACTTGTTTGATATTATCTCGAAAAATATCATGGATTTATTTTATTTAAAAAATCATATTTTTAACTATGTCATATAACATCGCATCTATTAATGTAAACGGGTTAAGAGATAACAAGAAGAGATCTCTGATATTTCAATGGTTGAAAATAAAAAAAAAATGATATTATTTTTTTGCAAGAAACGCATTGCAAAAATGATAACGAATCTAAGCTCTGGGGAACTCAATGGGGTGGCGACTTTTACTGGTGTATTTATAACAATAACAACGGAATCTGAGGCGTAGCGATCTTGATCAAACCGTTATTATCAATACCGGTAAAAAAATGAAAAAGATGACGGGGGTCGATACATCTCGCTTGAATTGTGCGCATATGAGAAAAAATTTCGCTTTACGAATGTGTACGCCCCGAGCAATGGAACGGAGCGCAAAGATTTTTCTAACTCACTTTCGAGTAAGTTAATGCATTTAACTGAAACGCATATAATTGGCGGGGATTTCAATTATTGTCTAAACTAGACAGAAAATATTGCGGTAAATAATAGATATGATAAAGCAGACAATGGTCTAAATGACTTATAACAAATGATTCGTGAGTTAGATGTGGAAGACATTTGGCGAAAACGCTTCCCTGACATTAAGCAATATACTTTTATGCGAAACGAGTCCAAATCAAGGATCGACTATTTTCTCACTTCAAAGATAATTGATAGCGAAGTATCAAGTCCAAAAATACAACATTTTATACATTCAGATCATTATCTTGTTTCGTTGACTTTAAAAATCGATAATGTTCACAGGGCTCCGGGTCTCTGGAAACTGAATGCAAGTATTTTAAAAGATATTGAATACGTTCAGCTCGTAGAAACATTTTGGAAAGATTTGTCAAAACATAAAGCAGATTTTAACTCAAAACGCGAGTGGTCGAATATGACAAAACATAAAATTAAAACGCTTGCAATTGAATATACAACACACATTTCAAAACCACAAAGACGAATTAAAGTAATAGAAGAAAAAATCACAAAGCTTAAAGAAACCAATTCAGCCGAGGCCCAAACTGAAATCAAAATATTATCAAAAATATTATCAGAGGAATTGACTTTCTATTATCAGAAAGAGCTCGAAGCACTCAAAAATAGAGAAAAAGCCAAACACATTGCTGAAAATGAAACCTCTTCGAAGTATTTCTTCGACTTAGAAAAAAAGAGGGGCAAGCAAAAAATATGGACGCAAATAAAATCTGAATCTGGAAAACTTAAAAACGACATAAATTTAATTTTAAAAGAACAGTGTGCATTCTACAAGAAAGTTTTTTCTTCTAAAGGAATTGATATCCGTTCGGCAGAAAAATTGGTTTCTAATATTATTACTAGTATAAAAAATGATGAGAAATTTGCCCTTGATTCAGATTTTCGGAAGGTAGAAGTTGAAAAGGCTATTATGAGTTTTAAACTCACAAAATCCCCCGGTGAGGGCGGCCTCACTGCAGAATTTTATCAAAAATTTTGGTACTTAATAAAAAACGACTTTCTTGAAGTAATTTTAGAAATTATTGGTTCCTATAATTTATCAAATTCACAACACAGGAGTGTTTTATCATTGCTTTATAAAAACGGGGATAGATCTGATCTTAAGAATTGGTGTCCACTTACACTTCTAAATGTCGATTACAAAATTATTTCGAAATGCTTAGCAGAAAGATTGAAACCATTATTATCGAAGTTGCTTCGTTCAGATCAAAAAGGTTTTATTAAGGATAGACAAATTTCAGAGGCAAACAGACTCATACAGACGTAATAGATTACACTGATCTAGAAAAGAAAGATGGTGTTATATTTTTTTAGATCAAACTAAGGCTTTTGATAGGGTAGAATGGGATTGGCTAGATATCTGCTTAAAAAGGTATGGTATAGGAGACAAATTCAGAAAATGGGTTCAAATGTGGTTAGTCGGCTCTGAAACAGCTATACAAACAAACATATTTATTTCTGAATATTTTCAAATTCCCCGCTCTATTAAACAAGGTTGTCCAATAGCGCCGTTTCTCTATATCTTACAAGCAGAAAAAAATGGCTTGTGCAATCAGAAATAATATTGATATACACGGCATTAAATTGCCTTCGTTAAATGGCTATGAGAATAAGTCTTCAGTTCCAGAAATATTTACTTTAAAAGAATATGAAATTTCCTCTGGGGCCAAAATGAAAAAGGATAACAGGCATCTTTATTGGAAAATCAAAAGAAAGGACTCCGAAATTTAAAGATATAAAATGGACGAGAAATTATGTTAAAACTTTAGGAATTTGTCACGGCTATAATATAGATACGAACGAAATTTGGATGAAAAAGATAAACAAAATTAAAAATTGTCTTCAAGTATGGAAAGCTCGGGGCCTGACTTTTAAAGGGAAAATTCTTGTTCTGAAAACATATGTAGTTTCTATTATTAATTTTGAAATTGAAACGCGCGGTATACCGACAAAATACATAGAAGAAATCGAAAAAACTATGAGCGATTTTCTTTTGGACAATAAGCGACCGTTAGTTTCAAAAAGCACAATTCTCCTTGACTTGAAAGACGGAGGTCTTAACTATTGTAATATTTCAAATATTCAAGCCAGTCTGGATACTAAAACAATATACAAAATTATACACTCTGACATACAGAACTGGAACGCAATAGGAAAATATTTTTACAAAAATATGATACTAATGGGGAAGATAAAATTGAGTATTTTCTATGTAAATGTTCTTCATTAGAAAATTTACCTTTCAAATTGAACATAAGTACGTTTTACAAATCCGCTCTCGAAAATTGGTGTCGGTTTAAAGCGAAGTTTAAGCCAAAGTCTCTATCCGATGTAAAAATATATTTCTTTTTTATAACTCTGAAATTCGTTTTCGCAAGAAAACACTTTACTTCAATTCATTTGTTAAAAGTAATATATTGTTTTTTTAAGGATATTTTGGACTTTGAAAATAATAATTTTATTAGCATAGACACTCTTTTAAGGAAATAAAAATGTAAGCGAAACTGGATTGCCGAATGGCATATTCTCAAATCGAGCATTCCTAAAATGTATATAACTGCTAAAAGAACATCATTATGAAACAGTGTCGAATTACACTCACTTAGACGATATTGTCTTAACGAGCAAGACGCAAACAAAAATATTGCCTGAAAATATTAAAATAAAACAAATATCTCATATATGGAATCAAAAGACTGGTAAATTGAAAACTGAAAGTAAATTGGAAACCTTACTTAATATGGAGTTACCATGGAGTAAAATATGGTGCCACGTTTATGATTCTTTTTCTTCATGCAAAGCTGTACAATTTCAGTGGAAATTGTTACACAATGTTATTTATACAGAACACAAGCTGTCTCTTATGAATTTATCTGACGGTAAATGTTGGATATGTAAATCTCAAGAGAAACTTTGTTTCATCTCTTCTGGGAATTTGATTTTTCTAAGAATGTTTGGACATGTAATTCAAAAACTTAAGTCCGCTAAAATTTTGGAAAATGATTTTTCAAATTTCCAATCTACTGCACTTTTTGGATCTTTTGAACATGCAATTAATGATAAATTGATCAATACTGTTATATTCGAAACAAAATGGGCAATTTGGAAATATCGTTACAATTGTAAGCATAATTATTCATATCAACCAATACCTATTTTGTTAAGAAATTTGTTCAATGATATAAAATACCAATTTGAATTCAAATGTAGAAATAGAAATAAAGACGATTCAGTGACAAAATTTTTAAAATAGTTGTAATTTGTATGAATATTACCTTTTATGTATGGGACGCAACTCAATTGAAATTATAGATTTAATTCATAAAGAGTTAATTCGCTTTTGAACCTTGTCATTTTTCGTTTTTCGGACAAGTAAATGATACCTTTGCGAATTGTATATTTTTCACATTATCTGTACTGCTTCTTATTTTGTAAGAAATCAAATATATACTTGTATTATTGTAAGGCTGATAGGAGGATGCTCTTCGATCCCTATTATGCCAATGATTGGGATTATAAATGGGGTTACCCCTTAACTGGGCGCCCGAAACTGAAAAAAAAGAGTACAGAAATGAACATTAATAGTTCGAATGGTTAATATATAAGAACTGATCTATCAGTTCTAAATCATATCATTAACATAAATAACAATAATAAACTGATAATAAAAGAAGAAAAAGATAACGACACAAAACCCACCAAGAAACAAACAAAAAAAACAACAACAACAAAGAAACAAAAAAAAACATAAAAAATACACACAGTTTCCAGGTGTGTATTTATAGTAATGATCACTTTGTAAATTATTGTTTTAACAATTCAAAGCATATATAACGCTTGATTTCCAAATCACTGATCCTATTTTTAAGTTTGTCTCGTTCCTGAAATTTAAGTATGTTTAAGCTGTAAGGTTTATACTAACCACTCTTCTACTTATGCATATCATGCAAATAAATTATTTGGGACTTTACTACGGGACATAGTTTCTAGGAGCATAAGCTTTAATTCAGACAGACAATATGAATTTCAAGGTATTTCTAAATGCAATAGCAAAGTCGTAAAATATTTCAAGTTATTTGTTTTTCTTTTTCTATACAAACTACTTTAATATATTGTTACATTTATTGTTTAAAGATTGTGGACTCGTGCCAGAAGTTCTAAATGGTAATACTATTCTCGCATTTGAGGGATATACACAGTTAGGTGAACGAGCTGTTGTTGAATGTGACAAAGGATATCACATAAATGGTACCTTGTCGAAGTTTGGTTTCATCTTCTGTCGACAGCCAGGTACATGGGATTTACGTACCTGCAGTATCTCAGGTTGGAATCTTTTATAGACATTTATTTCTGGCAAGTAATACAAACTTAACATTGTATTGTCTTTGGAAGTTCTTTATCTAGTGCTAGTGACAGAAATAACCTGCTAGCTATCATTATAAAATATATTAAAGAACATCTTACAATATCAACTGCTAATTAGATTCTTTATTACTCTATTTCATTTTCACATCCGTGTTATTTGTGCCGTATGGCGGCTTTAAAAAGTCTCCCCGTACATTTAATCAATGAAGTTATATTCTAAATCCTTGAATATCGTTCGGCACGACATTATTGTTGTGTATACATGTTATGTGGTACTTTTAGTTTCTTCTATTTGGCCTTTTTCAACTTTGGTGGTTCCAGTATTCCTACTTGATTACTGTTTAATCACCCTTAGGATATGTTGCCTGCTTTTTAAATTTGTCTTTTGACGTCATATCTGTGATATGCAGGCTTCATAACCTCAGATCCCCTTTCAAAATTCCATTTGATTAAGTTCCGCCCATTGTTTTCTCGTTTAGGGCACAAGCTTTCTTTTACTTGGGGACCATACGCCGCTTTTCATGGAATGGCACTACTGTGTCACATTTAAGGTTCCATGATAACCGCCGTATGAACACATCTGCGGATGTTTCTAAATTCAAAATTTCACCATTTTCGTGTTTAAATGTTGAATTCTGCTTAAGCCGGTGCTAGGGGCGTGGGCGGTAACTTTCACTTTCCATTACCGTCCATGAACAGGCTCAATCAAACCGAGCCTGCAACATTTTCAATTTTGTCGTGCTGAGCTTTCTCTAAGGATTCTTTATTTCTCTATTAGATATTTACTATTACGGACCATGTGTTAAAGAAGTATTAAAAAAGCAGCGGTACTATCTAAGAAACATTTGACAACAAAGTGCATGTTTGCTTCAATTCATAGATAAAAGCTAGGTTAACAATGACTAGTACATCGAGAAACAAATGAATACAAAAGCTTATTTCATATAAAGAATTTATGAAGTCACTTTTATATGACACATTCGTCGGCGGCATAATCATCGGCGTTGGTTAACCTTTTTAGCTCGACCATTCATTGGAAAGTGTGACGTTAGTGTAAAATAATAAACATATTCACTGCAAAATTAAATACTTCTTCATTGTCAAACATTTAATGCATTTCTAAACGCAAGTTTACCTTCAAAAGAAATTATATATCTATGTTATGTTTATCAAAAAAAGCCTTTTTGAAGTTTTCACTTCCAACATGAATTACTTTGTTATAAGTAGTCTACCAGTTTAACGGAATTTTGCAACCTTGTATTATTTGCTTTAACACTTTAATCTACCACTTAGAATATTGGAGCGTGCTGCTCCTCTGACTGTTTTTGCTTCATATTGTAATCAATCTAAGAATTTTGTTTTGTTTCTGAAATCATTTAGACTGCAGATCTCCACCAAACGATACGTTAAATGGAGAGTTTATACTTGACGAGGAAGGAGTAACGACATATGGAGCAAACGCTACATTAACTTGTATAGAAGGTTATGAAAGCAATGACTCTGTGATAACTTGTGAGGAATTTGATACCTGGTCAAAATATGAACCGTGCTTAATGAAAGGTATTCACAATAATTGTAGCAAGTAACTGCAATGTTTATACAGCATTTTTCTATGTTCATCATATTTAGTTTGTTCCTCATTGCTTTATTAAAAGCCATCTGCAAAATGCATGTAAATGTGTAAATAATACCGATGTTATCTCATACATATGAATTGACGCAATGGAGTATAAAGCTATGCATTTGCTGAAGTTAGCTTACACAATTATTGCTTGAATTTAAATACAGAATAATTCCAAAGTACTTTAATAAAAACATATTTGTATATTTTATTTTCAAGAGCAAATGTATCTTGACAAAATTGTCGCTAAACCAAAAAAAAATCTACTTAAATAGCAGCATAATATTATTTTCCGTAACATGTTAATCTGTTTACGACCAAAATATTCATGTGTGTGAAATACCAGAAACATTGTATGTATGTGACGACTCGATTGAACGTTGACTAAAAGATTATGGGAACAAAATAATTTTACCCTTTTTTATAATCTTCATTTAAAATTTTCGTTAGATAAAGCCATTTTACCCTTCAAACATAAACACAAATTTTCTATCCGAGTAACTTAGAAATATAAACACAAATTTTCTATCCCATTAACTTAGAAATATAAACACAAATTTTCTATTCCAGTAACTTAGAAACATACTCATTGAAGCATATTTTATTGACTTCAAATACAAGGCCCCACTTAAAGTTATCAATATCTTTGTAATTTGTTTATTTTCAGATTGCAAAACAGTTCCAATTATAGAAAGGGGGACAATTATGCCGATTGACAGTGACAACACAACCTATGGTGCTGTTGCAAAAGTGACATGTATCTCTGGATACAATTCGAGTAAAGAATATATCCAGTGTCTTAGTAACGGAACCTGGGAAATTGTAACTTGTGAAAAAATAGGTAAGACTAATGTTAATAAAGCGCCATATACGAATAAGATATATAATAATTATGGTATTTATAATAAACATAAGAAGACTGGTCTGTCACATTGGATTTAACAATTGCTACATTGGTCTGAAGCGAGTTTCAAACACTCGACCCAATCGGTCTTACAAAGAATAAACAAGGTTAATCTTGATGCCGCCCAACAAAGACGCCGCCAAATGATGTGAACAGTCAATCGGCATTGAAAATTGTTCCCTAATACAGTTGAATATCCGAAGCACAAATCTTTTTTTTCTCCATGTTCGTGGTATGTGCTGATTGTTTAATAATTAAGTTGCATATTTTTATGCATAAATTCACAAAATGATGCCATGTCTCAAATTCTGAGATGTTTGTCTGTTACGACAAAGATTGACACGTCTGGTCGAAGCAAAATAAATTGGATAACGAATAAAATTGAAATGATTGGTATACTTAAAATAAATTCAAGACAATATGAGGACGCACTGTTCTGCATTGATCTCCCCTAATTTGCCGTAGCGTCACCGGTGCGCAGCGTTTGGTGTACTTTCTTTATGGTTGAGGGAGAACCGCCTCTCTGATAGTGGGCGTGGTAAGGGCTTTGTAACTTGTAATTTAATGATTCGACAAGTGATATCGATCAAAGTTGTCCTGGTTTCCTTCCGCCCCGTCAACGAAGACTAAATGCTAGCATACGGAACATCATATTAAATTTTGTGACAATTTAATGCGGAGCCAAACTTCAACAGAGGCGGAGCAAATGAAGTGAGTGACACTGCCTCAATCGTTACCTCTCTCAACAGTTAAGTTTTAGAACGATCGACTATAGAATGGTTCATTGGCACGTTATTTATTATGAAGATAAAATTAGATAATGATAAAAAGAATATTATATTGAAACATGGCACTATCACTTCAGTTAAACGTTTATTCTAATCCCTTAAAGCTCTGTGACATGTTGTACACCAGAAAAGCTTTCTTATTAGAAAATTTGAAAATAGTGTGATTTTGTTGAAACAAAAATAAATAAATGAAATACACAAAATCAAGTCTAATATATTCCCCATTGCTATATGGACAAATACATATCTACTAGACGCCGCCACGTGTCTAATAACAAAATGTTACGGTTAATACAAGCATACCTAATATAATGATTTAAAGTTTTAAGGAATAATTAATGTACAGAAATGAACATTAATAGTTCGAATGTTAAATATATAAGAACTGATCTATCAATTCTAAATCATATCATTAACATAAATAACAAAAGTAAACTGATAATAGTAGTAGAAAATAATAACGACACAAAATCCACAAAAAAAGCAAAAAGAAACAAACATAAAAATACACACAATTTCCAGGTGTTTATTTATAGTAATGATCACTTTGTAAATTATTGTTTTAACAATTTAAAGCATATATAACGCTAGATTTCCAAATCGTTTATTTTATTTTAATATTTGTCTCGTTCCTGAAATTTAAGTATGTTTAAGCTGTAAGGTTCATACTAACCACTCTTCTACTTATGCATATTATGCAAGTAAATTATTTGGGACTTTACTACAGGACATAGTTTCTAGGAGAATAAGCTTTAATTCAGACAGACAAGATGAATTTCAAGGTATTTCTAAATGCAATAGCAAAGTCGTAAACTATTTCAATTAATTTTGTTTCGTTTTCTAAACAAACTACTTTAATAATTATATTTTACATTTATTGTTTAAAGATTGTAGACTCGTGCCAGAAGTTCTAAATGGTAATACTATTCTCGCATATGAGGGATATACACAGTTAGGTGAACGAGCTGTTGTTGAATGTGACAAAGGATATCACATAAATGCTACCTTGTCGAAGTTTGGTTTCATCTTCTGTCGACAGCCAGGTACATGGGATTTACGTACCTGCAGTATCTCAGGTTGGAATCTTTTATAGACATTTATTTCTAGCAAGTAATACAAACTTAACATTGTATTATCTTTGGAAGTTCTTTATCTAGTGACAGAAAAAACCTGCTAGCTATCATTATAAAATATATTAAAGAACATCTTACAATATCAACTGCTACTTAGATTCTTTACCTCTCTATTTCATTGTCACATCCGTGTTATTTGTGCCGTGTGGCGGCTGTAAAAAGTCTCCCCGTACATATAATCAATGATGTTATATTTTCGATCCTTGAAGATCGTTCGGCACGACATTATTGTTGTGTATACATGTTATGTGGTACTTTTAGTTTCTTCTATTTGGCCTTTTTCAACTTTGGTGGTTCCAGTATTCCTACTTGATTACTGTTTAATCACCCTTAGGATATGTTGCCTGCTTTTTAAATTTGTCTTTTGACGTCATATCTGTGATATGCAGGCTTCATAACCTCAGATCCCCTTTCAAAATTCCATTTGATTAAGTTTCGCCCATTGTTTTCTCGTTTAAGGCACAAGCTTTCTTTTACTTGGGGACCATACGCCGCTTTTCATGGAATGGCACTACTGTGTCACATTGAAGGTTCCATGATAACCGCCGTATGAACACATCTGCGGATGTTTCTAAATTCAAAATTTCACCATTTTCGTGTTTAAATGTTGAATTCTGCTTAAGCTGGTGCTAGGGGCGTGGACGGTAACTTTCACTTTCCATTACCGTCAATGAACAGGCTCAATCTAACCGAGCCTGCAACATTTTCAATTTTGTCGTGATGAGCTTTCTTTTGGGATTCTTTATTTCTCTATTAGATATTTACTATTACGGACCATGTGTTAAAGAAGTATTAAAAAAGCAGCGGTACTATCTAAGAAACATTTGACAACAAAGTGCATGTTTGCTTCAATTCAGAGATAAAATCTAGCTAAACAATGTCTAGTACAACATGAAACAAATGAATACAAGAGCTTATTTCATATAAAGAATTTATGAAGTCACTTTTATATGACCCATTGGTCGACGGCATCATCGTCGGCGTTGGTTAACCTTTTTAGCTCGACCATTAATTGGAAAGTGTGACGTTAGTGTCGGCTTGAGCGAAAAATATTAAACATATTCACTGCAACATTAAACATTTCTTTAATGTCAAACATTTAATGCATTTCTAAACGCAAGTTTACCTTCAAAAGAAATTATATATCTATCTTTTGTTTATCAAAAAAAAAACTTTTTGAAGTTTTCACTTCCAACATGAATTACTTTGTTATAAGTAGTCTACCAGTTCAACAAAATTATGCAACCTTGTATTATTTGCTTTAACACTTTAATCTACCACTTAGAATACTGGAGCGTGCTGCTCCTCTGACTGTTTTTGCTTCATATTGTAATCAATCTAAGAATTTGTTTTGTTTCTGAAATCATTTAGACTGCAGATCTCCACCAAACGATACGTTGAATGGAGAGTTTATACTTGACGAGGAAGGAGTAACGACATATGGAGCAAACGCTACATTAACTTGTATAGAAGGTTATGAAAGCAATGACTCTGTGATAACTTGTGAGGAATTTGATACCTGGTCAAAATATGAACCATGCTTAATGAAAGGTATTCACAATAATTTTAGCAAGTAACTGCAATGTTTATACAGCATATTTCTATGTTGACCCTATCAATGATGTCCCTCTGTGGTATTTTATAATATCTGCAAAATTCATGTGCATGTGTGTTGTTTATAATGACGGGAAAAATTACATTAAAAGTAACGCAGAGTTGTATAAAGCTATGAATTAGTTGCATGTAGTTACAAAATTATTGTTTAAATTGTAAAAAAGGACATTTCTAAAAGACTTTTTATGTACGAAATATGCTTGTATAATTTCTCATCAACTGCTGCAACATCGAATCCTGCACCACAACATCATTGCTAAACAATGATATCATTTGATTCTGTTTACGTACAATATTATTGAGTGTTAAATAAAAATATAATTTTCTACAAATATTATCTTCTACCTTTCTAAGAATTGTATATAAAGTTGTCTTTAAACATAGGTCTATACTCTTTACGTTCACAATCATTAAAAAATCAAAATGTGTGTATGATAGTAGCACCTTAAGAAAATCCTCGACGAACGATATTTTACTAAATTCATATTCAAAGCTACAATTAAACTTATTACACATCTCTTTTATTTCCAGATTGCAAAACAGTACTGGTTATAGAAAGGGGGACAATTATGCCGATTGACAGTGACAACACAACCTATGGTGCTGTTGCAAACGTGACATGTGACTATGGATACAATTCGAGTAAAGAATATATCCAGTGTCTTAGTAACGGAACTTGGGAAAGTGTTACTTGTAAAAAAATAGGTAAAAATTGTGCTCAATACCGACAGTATGTTTATTTAATATAAAATGACCTATTATCATTGTCTTTTATATTTTTAGTTCCACGTTAGAATACACTCATTATTTCAAATACATGTTCAGATGTTTGGAGAAGTAAAGCCAAAAACGGAAACGAATAGTGCAGCTAGTACAAACATTTACATCTAGATTTTCTGTAAATTAGTTACTTTACTAATTATTATTGGAGGATCAGGCCATAAAATATTCAGAATGGAGTTGATAAATCCCTTGCTACATTCATCTTTAAGATAAGGATTTTAAAAATGTGTGTACCGTAGGTTTCAAATTTTAGTTTCTTTGCAGTGATTCCATGGTTTAAAAAATCAGCTTATACATGCATGTTTGGGGTGCCAACGCTAGCGCAGCGTAACATACTATTATTTTTTGTAAATTTGTAATCTTTACAATATTTGAATCAGCATAAAATATTTGATGGGTAGATAAATTCTGTATACATTTCATTTTGAGATAATGGATTTTAAAAATTGTACTAGTTTTCAAATTTAGTTGGTTTGATCGCATGATTATGAAAACATATTTAGATTAGAATGTAATGGATTTAACTGGTGTGGCACAAAGTGGGGATTGCATATGAGAAAAAAAAGAAGAAAAGGTTCTGATACAAAAAGCATTTCCTTATAAGTTTATGATAACGTATTTACAGATTGTGGAGATGTTCCGTTATTAGATTATGGAAGCATAGCTTTGCAAATTGACGGAAATAGCTCATATGGTGCTCTAGCTAATGTGACATGTGATACGGGTTATAACACAACATTACATACCATACAGTGTCAGATAACAGGACAGTGGCAGGACACAACATGTACTGTTGTTGGTGCGTAGTTAATCTATTAATCCTTTTTCATATATGACAGTGTATTATTTACACTACATAATATAGCAAATATATTTTAATCCCTGGTCCTATAAATATCACATTGCCGTTTTAATAAAATCGAAATGTGTGTTTTTAACTCATAGCTCATTTAATGATTTAACTCATAAAGCAGCATACTTTTCTTAAAATGAAAGTTGTCAGTGAATAATAATTATAATGATAATAATAATAACTACAACAACAATAATAATAATAATAATAATAATAATAATAATAATAATAATAATAATAATAAATTAAATAATAAAAATAATGATAATGTAAAAAATAAATAAACAAAAAAGACACTAACTTTGGTTTCCTTTTTCTACACAGCAAATAAATGAATTTTCCCACAGAATAAAGTATTTATAACGATTTTTATTTTGCAAATAACGGCAGATTGGATGGATATTAATTTCTTGCATATCAGGTCTTTCTGTTAATTTTAGTAATGCCGGAAATTTCATAAGGCATTGGGGTTGCAATGGCATGCCTAGGATGACGTACATAACGTAATTGCATCGTGTTGAATGAAGTTGTAATTTGATACGCTGGTGTAAGACAATAGTAAGGGTTGTTATGACATACATTTCTACATTAAGGAAAAGTATCTAAAATATGATGAAATATGGAAGACAATGCAAGAAAATCATCTGACATATGTTTTCATTTCGCATTGGAATACCCGTCCCTCGGGGACCCGCCATGGGCAGTAACTCGGCAAGTCTCGTTACCGCCCAATAGGCGGGTCCCCTCTGAACGGTAAGTCCTATCCGAACCACAACATATGACAATTATTATTATTCTTTAGGAAAAAGGAACCAATTTGTTAAACCGCTTATGTCAGGGACATGGCGGATAGGAAATGGATGACCAATTCATATGTATTTAAAATAAAGTAATATATTTCTAACGTTTCTAGTGGCATATGCGTGTGCATTTAATAAATTCATGATAAACGTTTAATAACAACTTCAAAGGCAAGATATTATACATTTTGTCGTAGTTTATATTTTTCTATGGTTTTATGACCAATATATTTAGACATTGCGATTGCACAACATAAAAAATGACAATCGCATGCGTGTTATGTTTTGGACTTAATGAATCCCCTTAAATATAAATGATGTAATGCACTCTATTACTCATAAAACTAACAATGTTACAAATGTATGCTATTGCTACATCAGTAGTTTTCCGAGAGTAATTAAATGTGATGATGACAATATATACTTTATTTAAACGAAATATCTGGCCGTTTTACTTTGTATTGTTTTTATATACCTGTATACCACCTCAGATTGCGGAAATAACCCGCCAAAATCAAATTGAATTAATTGTTGAACTTGCATCCGTAAGATATACGTAAAAAATTAAGTCGTCAACAATTAACACTTATGTAAATTTACAAATTTACCGAATAATAAACATTGAAACGTACGCAAAATATTACCTAGAATGTGGATGATATACCTCAGTTAAATATATATATATTTATCACACGAATACATAGAGTATATTTATTTAGATCAGTGTAAGATCGGAATATATTTCACCGAGTGAGCACCAAAAGGTATATTTCACGTGTGGCGCAGCCACGAGTGAAATATGAACTTTTGCTGTTCACAAGGTGAAATATATTTCGATCTTACACTAAACTAAACAAATTTCTTTTTATTATATGCAAAGAAACGTTTTAAAAAGACATTAAACCTAACACTGAATGAAAAGCGCGCCAAATAATAATACAACGTGACGTCATTTACGTCATTTACATAAGGGGCTAAAATTCAAAACAGTGAAATTATCAAATTGATATTACTATACAGTGTCTATACGGATGGACGGAGTAATGGGGAAACGGCGAACTTGTAATAAAACTGTGGTGGAGCTAATGATACAAAAAGACGGGGTCACATTATGATTTGCATACTTAGTGGATTCAATGTGAGCATTAAGTGGAGATACCAACGGTGACGTATATTGATAGATATACGTAATGTGACAGAATGTCGTTCTACTGGAGAATGAGATACGACGTTATGTGAATTGATTGGATAGCTAATAGATCTTTTACAAAAATTACAACAACATCAAATATTCCCGATTTGAAACTTAATTTAATATTCTTTACAATAATGGCAAAGCAATTGAAAGGGATGTCATTCGTCTTGATGCAATTGATTGTCAAAAAAAAAGTCATTTGTAACAAAATTGACGTTATTTTTGCAGATTGTGGAGATGTGCCGTTTATAAATGATGGAAATATATTTTTGCAAGAGGAGGGAAATAGCTCATACGGCGCCTTAGCCAAAGTAACATGTAACACAGGCTATAACACAACGTCAGATACTATACAGTGTCTTGATACAGGGGAATGGGATAACAGGACTTGCACTATTGTTGGTTTGTAATTATACATAATAAGTTGTGTCTTAATGTTAATATCTATGCTATTTTTATCTCTTATGATATCAGCATTGTTATTATGTATTATGTATGTTACAAGAAGGATTTTCCGTCTTGTCAATGACAGCAAGTCTTATTAAAATCCCCTAAAAGATAAATTAAATGATATTAAGTATTACCCATTAACGAATGTTTTTAACTGCATAAATTGTTTGTTGTTTTTTTTGTTGTTGTTGTTTTTTTTGTTGTTTTTTGTTTTGTTTTTTGAAAATGATTAAATCATATAGATGAAAATATTTACTTTATGTAGAAAAAACAACAACAACAACAACAAAAAACAAATAAACAAAACATTAAAATGCATTTTCTTAAGTTATCATTGTTATGCCCATGTATAATTCTAGCATTTGAAAGGGATGTTAATCGTTTTGATACAAGTGATTGTCATAAGAAAATATAATTTCAATATTTGACGTTATGTTTGCAGATTGTGGAGATGTGCCGTTTATAAATGATGGAAACATATTATTACAAGAGGGTGGAAATAGCTCATACGGCGCCTTAGCCGAAGTAACATGTAACACAGGCTATAACGCAACATTAAACGCCATAGTTTGTCAGGACACAGGGGAATGGAACAACATCACTTGCAATATTATTGGTGTGTTGTTTTCTAAATCAAATTGTAAATCTCAAAGATATTTCTTTACAGTTTTTATGCTCCTCGAAAAATTTCGGGGGGGCATATAGTCGCCGCCTTGTCCGTCCGTCTGTCCTTCCGTACAAACCAGAGCTACATTATGGGGTTTGGTCTATTGTTCTCATAACAATAGATGTAAGAATGTCCGTCTGTCCGTCCATCCGTCGGTCCGTCCGTCCGCTTTTCTTGTCCGGGACATACCTTTGAACAACAAGAGGTATCAACATGAAACTTTGTAGGTGGATAGATCTCATTGAGTAGGTGTGCAGTGCACAAGAACCGTAACTCTGCCTTCCCTAATTTTTTAATTATTCCCCTTTGTTTATGTTGACACTTTGAACATTGTCCGGGACATAACTCTTAAACTATAAGAGGTATCAACATGAAACTTTGTAGGTAGATAGATCTCATTAGGGTGGTGTGCAGTGCACAAGAACCGTAATTCTGCCTTGCCTAATTTTTGAATTATTTCCCTTTGTTTATTTTGACACTATGAACTTTGTCCAGGACATAACTCTAAAATTATAAGAGGTATCAACATGAAACTGTGTAGGTAGATAGATCTCATTGAGTAGGTTTGCAGTGCACAAGAACCGTAAATCTGCCTTGCTTAATTTTTGAATTATTTTCCTTTGTTTATTTTGACACTTTGAACATTGTCCGGAACATAACTTTAAAACTATAAGAGGTATCAACATGAAACTTTGTAGGTAGATAAATCTCATTGAGTAGATGTGCAGTGCTTAAGAACCGTAACTCTGCCTTGCCTAATTTTTGAATTATTCCCATTTGTTTATTTTGACACTGAACTTTGTACGGGACATAACTTCAAAACTATAAGAGGTATCAACATGAAACTTTGTAGGTAGATATATCTCATTGAGAAGGTGTGCAGTGCATAAGAACCGTAACTTTGCCTTGTCTATTTTTTAAATAATTTCCCTTTGTTTATTTTTACACTTTGAACTTTGTCCAGGACATTACTCTAAAATAATAAGAGATATCAACATGAAACTTTGTAGATAGATAGCTATGATTAGGTAGAAGTGCAGTGCTAAAGAATCATAACTCTGCCTTGCCTTATTTTGAAGTTATTGCCCTTTGTTTATTTTTACTTTTTGACTTTTGTCCGGGACATACTCTAAAACTATTAAAGATAGCAACATGAAACTTTGTAGGTAGATAGATATCATTGGATAGAACTTCAATGCTTAAAGAACCTAAACAATGCCTTGTCTAATTTTGAAGTTATTGCCCTTTGTTCATTTTTACACTTTGAATTTTACCCGAGACATAACTCTGAAACTATAAGAGATATCATCAGGAAACTTTATAGATAGATAGATCTTATTGAATTGAAGTGCAGTGCGTAATTATGGAGTTTTTGCCCTTTGTTCATTTTTTATACTTTCCTGTGTCCAAAACCGTCTCGGGGAGCATCACCAGGTTCAACCGGTTCTTGTTAACTGTATGTGATGACCATTGATTTAGCGTCAGTCGATTGATAAATAGGTACATTTTTCAATCTTTTCATGAAAAATTGTCAGTTTTATCAAACTCGAGTCACGTTGATTGCACTATAATACCTCTGTACTTGTATGCAATCTATGAGAGTGAAAGTGTTGCAATAAAACAATTCCTGATCAGTAAGTTGGGTATATTTATTTTTCGTTGTACTTATTTATCATTATCAATTTCAATTTTACTATGTTAATTGTTTTAAAATAAAAATCTACAGTTTTTTCAAGTTTTTACACAAAGAAGGACAATTTAAACAAGTGAAAAGAATCTTTTTAAAATTTGCATTATTAAAGAGAATCATAAATGAAGCAATGTTTTGAGATAACGAATAAAATATAGGTCACATCTCTTCCTTTTAAAGTGATCTGTCTATGTTTGGCCTTTTCATGAGCAGGTAACTCACAACAAGGACAAGTAATGTTTTTCTTTGGTTTTTTATTTAGACTGTGGAAATGTCCCATCAGTTTTGAATGGACGCATAGAACTTAATGAAGACGGGAATACCTCATACGGTGCTTTAGCTGAAGTAATATGTGACACAGGTTATAACAAATCGCGAGATATTATAGAATGTCACAATACTGGCGAATGGGATAAACCTACATGTGATCTTAAAGGCAAGTTTATACATGCATAATAATGCAAAAATTGATAAAAGGAAACACCAATCACATGTTCATAAAAGCTTGTGCATTTCGTATATGATTTGCAAAGAATTAGTTTGGTCAGAACAAGATTGATTTTTATAGACAAGATTATTTCCATAATGCTGATGTGGTTCTTATATAATTTGGTAAGGTAATTATATTATGAGTTACTAATACCATGGGTAAACTGTATTGAAAATGAATAATACACCTTTTAAAGTAGAATAGATGTTTTGATGTTTGATAAACACGTTTTCAGATTGTGGAACTGTTCCGTTGATTAATGGTGGATCCATAACCTTAAACAAGGCTGTAAATAGCACTTATGGTGCTATTGCAGAAGTTAGATGTAACACCGGCTATAACACAACCTTACCTACCATAGAGTGTGGCGATAATGGGAAATGGGATAACACGACTTGTGATATTGTTGGTGTGTACTTGCGTTGTTTTATCTAGGCATTTAAGCGAAAAAAGATTAAAGTTCACAGTGTCATGCTGATTGTAACGACATTGATTGTTTGCTTTGGTATTGTTTTATGTTGCACCAACGCTATAAGGTCATATTGTAGCTTTCGAGCTTTACCGATGGAAAAATTCCTCAGGTTAACCTCTTTGCATTGTTTCATGCACGAACGAGTACCTGAATAGGACCATCGACCTTCGTAAGCCAGGTAGCGTCATTGTACATGCTTACATGAAGAAAGATGTTTTAACTTTCTTGCAAAATAATGAACGTGCTTTGAGACATAATTTAGTATTTTTTTGCCCCAACTCTTGGGGGGAGTTGACATACATTTGCCTTTGACCTAGAGTCAACATACTTTACAGGAATATGGATCAGCATGTGAAGTTGTGCTTTGAGTAATTCCCTTTGACTTAAAAAATGTTTGATTTTTTCCACTTGTGTCGCGCATAATTCAAAATTTAAGGTATTTGACTTGGAGTGATGAAACTTTATAGGAAGGTTGGTCAGCATGTGTAGTTTTGCACCTGAGGGTTCGCTTGTCGATATATTTGTAAAGTAATTGCCCTTGACATAGAAAATGTGCAATTTTCAACTTGTTTTGTGCGTAATTCACGTATTTGACTAAGACCGTCATGAAACGGTATGCATGTGAAGTTGTACATCTAAGAATTTGCTTGTTTTCTTAAACATACTCGTAGTTACGTATATAAACAATTAGATTTAGTATTCTTGCTGCTTAATTGGGAAAAAGTCAAGATGTCAGCATTGGATGTCAGTATACATCAACCTTGACGATTTCTAGACGAAAATGCTGCTTAAATTACCAGTGGAATGGTCACTCTCTAAACGATAATATAAAGACACGCACAATATTATTTTGTTCAATCTTTTAACTACTTTTACATGTTGTTATTTTAACAGACTGTGGAAAAGTACCATCAATATCGAATGGAAGCATAGACCTTATAGAAGATGGAAACACAACTTACGGCGCTTTAGCGGAAGTGACATGCGACACAGGTTACAATGGTACGCTAAATGTAATAGAATGTCGCGACACCGGGGAATGGAATGTTACTGAATGTAATTTGATAGGTATGGTGATATAAAAATCGTCTTAAAAGATTAGCCACAGTCACAATTGATAATATAATATGTAGTACAAGCATATTATCTAATAATAACATATGGAAAAGACGACCGAGAGTGTTAAGCTATCTAACAATACTTTAGAAGAAAATCATATTTTATTTTTGATCGGAAACATTAGTGTTCTCAATATTAGATTACAAACATGTTATAAATGTCTAATTCTGCGACATTCAGTATCATTTTAGACATGCCTATTTATATTATCATTCATGTTTTGAAGTCTTCCCTACTATTTCCTTACATGTCATTTTATCAACTTTGTATTTTACTCATTGTTTAGATTGCGGAAATGTTCCACAGCTAGATAATGGCAATGTAGTGTTAAAAGTGGATGGACTGAGCTCTTATGGCGCAGATGCAGTTGTTACATGTGAACAAGGCTATAATGCTACTTCAAAAACAATACAATGTCTTGACACTGGAAAATGGGATAACATTAGTTGCGGAATAGTTGGTAAGTATACTTGCAATATGATATATTGTGTCAAATGAGTAAGAATAATTAAATAAGTCATTAACTAACTTATGATAATTCATAATTTTCTTTTTCAGATTGCGGAGAAGTACCTGTTGTTACAAAAGGTACTGTCACTCTTCTAGAAGTAAATAACACAACGTATAGCGCTCTTGCAAACATTAGCTGTGAAACAGGTTACAATGCAAGCATAGGCATAATACAATGTCTAGAAACGGGACTCTGGGAAACAACTGGATGTCAGATACTAGGTATATGATTAACTTATTAAAGAAAAGCATGTTTTACATATTAAATATAATTCTTATTTTGCAATAGAGCAATATGAAATAACTTTTTCAACAGCAACTAAAAGCAAAAGTAAAATCTAACAACATAAAACTTACAGCCTTTTTTATTTCAAACAAGCATGAAGAAGTGACAATACAAGGAATCAATAATTGTGCCAAATGTTAAATGTTTTAATGGTTTGCTGAATTATTATGGTCCCAATATATATGTTATAATCCACTTGCCTATACCGCTATGGATTTTTTATGAGAGGAAGCTAATCAGCTTGCTTTCGGAACGTCTGTGGTTCTACTCAGGTGCCCCTTTGTGCCTAAATGAGGGAAGGCCACCTGAGATTTGTTCTGCAAAAGTTAAGCTGGAAGGTGTTGGTGCGACGTAAAATTCAGCAAAAAAAGTATTATTGCTCGGGTTTTGGATTACTTTTTGTGCCCCAACTATAGGGGGAGGGTGCATTTAGATTTATTTTTGTCCGTCCATCCGTCCATCCACTCTCACGGGACAGTAATAATGTAGCTAGAGGGACAATAAGCGACTGTTCTTTCTTTGTAATGTAATTCATTTCGTAATGCTTATATAGGCTATTTTCTTTTATGTGGCTAAAAAGAACAATAGAGAGAACAATAGAGTAGCCACATTATTACTGTCCCGTTAGAACATCCGTCTATCCGTCCATCAGTTCGATCTATTTTGTGTCGCACGTAGATCAAAACCTATTTGACCTAGATCCATGAAATTTTAGAATATTGGTCAGCATGTGTAGTTGTGCACCTTGGTGTTTAAATATGGATTTATTCAGTATTTGTAGAGTTGTTGCCCTTGACTTAGTAAAAATTTGCAATTTTCAAATTGTGTCGCACGTAGCTCAAAAAGCATTTGACCTAGGGTCATGAAACTTTACAGGAATGTTGCTCAGCATGTATCGCACGTAGCTCAAAAAGTATTTGACCTAGGGTCATGCAAAGTTGTTCAGGTTGTGAAGTTATGAACCTGATGTTTTGCTTGTGGATTTATTCCATTGTATTCTGGTTTGTAAAAAATATGCCCCTTGACTTAGTGAAATTTCCAATTTCCATTTTTTGTCGCACTTAGCTCAAAAGGTATTTGACATAGAATCATTAAACGTTATAGGAATGTTGGTCAGCATGTGTAGTTGTGCACCAGTGTTTTCGGTTGTTGATTTATTCAGTATTTATAGAGTTATTGTCCTTGAATTAGTAAAAAATTGGAATTTTGTACTTGTGCATGTACATCTCAAAAAGTCTTTGACCTAGAGTCATGAAACTTTACAGAAATACTGGTCCCATATGTAACAATGCAATTTAGGGTTTTGTGGATTTATTCAGTATTTGTAGAGAAATTGCCCTTGACTTAGTAAAAGCCATTCCAAAAATGTTGTGTCATATGTACCTAAAGTGCTTGAATTAGAATCAACCAATTTTACAGGAATGATGATCAAACACTGTGGAGCTGTGCACCTGAGGTTTTGCAAGTGGATTTTTTTCTGTCTAAAAGAGTCATTGCCCTTGACTTAGTATGAATCTTTGACTTGTTCATGCATAGCTAAAAACGTATTAGATCTGTAGTCCTGAAAGTATGTTGGTCAGCATGTGCAGTTATGCACCTTAGATTTTTATTGTGGATTTATTCAGTATTTGTAGAGTTTTTGTCATTTATTTGGTGAATAAAATTCAGGTTTCAACTTGTGTCACGTGTAGCCCAAGAAAATTTGACCTAAGAGTCAGTAAATTGACAAAACACTGGAGTGTAGGGGCACCCTTGTCCCATGGACACAATTTTAGCTATTTTAGGAAGCTATCTTTCTAGCTTATTGTAGCTCCGCTCGTGCCTGAAAGATATACGGAGGGGCACCTGAGGATTTTTCTCCAACACTTAAACTTCAAAGTCACCATGTGCTCTGACAGACTTTCCATTTAAGTATCAAACAAAGTAAAAAAAATAAACAATATATAAAATTTAATATTTCCTACAAATTTTAACTTTTGCACTTAAAACGGAGAAATAAGAAAAACATGAAATACTCAGTATCAAATTGAAAATCGATTTTATCTGCGATTTTTATCCTTATCCCAATTTTTAGTTTTGGGTCATTACACACAATGAAATTTATTATTCTTGAAAATCGGAGTTTGCAAATAATCTGGAATTTCGCACATGGGTTGTCAACACATAAATATGAATTCATTACTGACCAGATTGCGACGCTGTGCCAGACGTTTTAAATGGGATTGTGGCATTACAAGAAGCTGAAAATACTACATATGGTAAATTATCCGAGGTTATATGTAACGTTGGCTACAATGCAACCTCCGAAACAATACTTTGTCTAGAAACAGGAAAATGGGAAACTCCACAGTGTGAAATATTAGGTAACTTTTAATCATTTAAAAAAATGGATGAAGAAATTATTAAATTTGAAATACTTGTCTTAGTGATAAAAATGTTTAAATTAAAATATCCTACATGTATTTATTTTTATAAATATGTAAAAGTCATACATGAAATGAACGCAATTGTATAGATTATGTTTAAAATGTAATTTATCTGAGTTCTATTTGAAGATTGTGAGGCTGCTCCGGTCATCGCTAATGGACAAATTACTCTTACACAAGATGGAAATACCACGTATGGTGCAATAGCGAGTGTATCATGTTCAACAGGATATAACGCGACAGTAGACACAATACTGTGTCTAGAAACAGGCGAATGGGACAATGCAACATGTGATTCAATAGGTAAATTGATTCACCTATACGTAACAGAAGCATTGATATACGTAAGGACACAGTTGTTAGGTGAAATTGCTTTTAATAGTTTAATTCAGTTTTGTTTAATGAATGAGAAAGAAAAGAAAGGAAACCTAATTTACTTCCTTAAATTATATTCATGATCAGGTGAAACTTTATATGCAAGGCAAAATATTTTCACAAATCTGGTTTTATATTGAATCAAGAAACCTTATCCTCCAGACTCCCTATCATTCAAATCTTTTCATTGTTCGAGTCATTAAAGCTCGGAATGTGTAAATATTGTTATTATTAAAAAGAAGCACAATACATAAACTATGTTTATTATGAATAAAGTAATGCAAAAAAAGAAATCTTTAGTGTTGTTTTATAAGTCTAATAGTTTTTTCGTGTCAATATTCTAATGGCTATTTTACATGTGAAAACAGACACTTGTATCACATTTCTAAAGGTGTTGAACAGATATCGTATTGTTGATAAATTTCTTTGTATTTAATTCAGTGAAACGATGTAAAGTAACATATGTCTAAAATATACATCAACCGTGACGATTTCTAGGCAAAATGCTGCTATAATTACCAGTGGAATGTTACTGTAAGGGGTAATATAAAAACACGCACATTTCTAACTTTGATCAGTCGGGTTAACTAATTTTACTTTTTGTTATTTTAACAGACTGTGGAAACCTACCATCAATATCGAATGGAAGCATAACCCTAATAGAAGATGGAAACACGACTTACGGCGCTTTGGCAGAAGTGATATGCGACACAGGTTATAATGAGACGCTAAATATCATAGAATGTCTGGACACCGGGGAATGGGATGTTACTGAATGTAAATTGTTAGGTATGGTGATATAAAATCCGGCTGTAAAAGATTAACCACAGTCACTAATTAATAATAAAATATATGTACGTACAAGTATATTATCAAATAATAACATATCAAAAAGACGACATAGGGTGTAAAGTTATCTATAAATACTTTAGAAACCAATCATATTTTATGTTTGATCGGAAAAAAACCTTTCTCATTATTAGTTTACGAACATGTTAATAATGTTAAATTCTGAATATTTAGTATCAGTTTATAGTTTCTTAGCGTTGCCTATTTAAATGATCATTCATGGTGTTTGAAGTCTTTCCTACTATTTTCCTACAAGTCATTTCATCAACTTTGTATTTTACTCATTGTTTAGATTGCGGACATGTTCCACAGCTAGATAATGGCGCTGTAGAGTTAAAAGTGGATAGACTGAGCTCTTATGGCACAGAAGCAATTGTTACATGCGAACAAGGCTATAATGCTACTTCAAAAACAATACAATGTCTTGACACTGGAAAATGGGATAAAATTAGTTGCGAAATAGTTGGTAAGTATACTTGCAATATGATATATTGTGTCAAATGAGTAAGAATAATTAAATAAGTCATTTACTTTGTATAAATTTGCAATTTTTAACTTGTTATGATAATTCATAATTTTTTCTTTTTAAGATTGCGGAAAAGTACCTGTTGTTACAAAAGGTACTGTCACTCTTCTAGAAGTAAATAACACAACGTATAGCGCACTTGCAAACGTTAGCTGTGAAACGGGTTACAATGCAAGCATAGGCATAATACAATGTCTAGAAACGGGACTCTGGGAAACAACTGAATGTCAGATACTAGGTATATGATTAACTTATTAAAGAATCTGTTTTACATATTAAATATAATTCTTATTTTGCAATAGAGCGATATGAAATAATTTATTCAACAGCAACTAAAAGCGGAAGTAACGTCTAGCTACATAAATCTTACGGCGCTTTTATTTTAAACAAACATGAAGAAGTGACAATTCAAGAAATCAATAATTATTCCGAACGTTAGATGTATTGAATGGCTAGCTGAATTATTATGGTCCCAACATATATGTCATACATCCACTTGCCTATCATCACTGTGGGTTTTCAAATCACAACAGGGACTGTGGATTCTTTCATGAAAGAAAGCTATTCAGCTTGCTTTCGGAACGTCGGTGGTACTACTCAGGTGCCCTTTCTTGTCTAAATAAGGGAAGGGCACTTAAGGTTTGTTCTGAAACAGTAAAGCTGGAAGGTGCTGATGCGACGTAAAATTCAACAAAAAAGCATCATTGCTCGGGTGTTTGATTACTTTTGTGCCCCAACGGGGGGATTTAGATATTTAGATTTACCCTTGTCGATTCATCCGTCCATCTGCTCTCTCGGGACAGTAATAATGTGGTTAGAGGAACAATAGGTAACTGTTCTTTCTCTTAGATGTCATTCATTCCGTCGTGCTTTTAAATGGAGCAAATTATTACTGTCCCTAAAGAATTTCCGTCTACCCGTCCATCCATCCGTAGATCCGTTCTCTTTTGTGTCGCACGTAGCTCAAAACCTTATTGACCTGGAGCCATGAAACTTTGTTGATCAGCCTGTCCGTGCCCTTCCTTGCGCCCTGTTCTGTTTTGGTTTGGGGTCCTGCTTAGATTTTCCCTTGTCCGTCCGTTCGTCCCTCCACATGTCTGTCCTTCCGTCCGTTCGTTCTTATTTTTGGTCCCACGTGGCTCAAAAATTATTTCACCTAAAGTCATAAAACTTTACAAGAATGTTGATACGCATATTTAGTTGTGCGCCTGGGTATTTTCGTGTGGGTTTTTTTAGTATTTTAGAGTAATTACCCTTGACTTAGTAAAAATTTAAATTTTCAACTTGTGTCTCACAAAACTCAAAAAGGATTTGACCTTGAATCATTAAACCTTACAAGAATGTTGATGAGCCTGTGTAGTTGTGCACCTTGGTATTTTCTTGTGGAATTATTTGGTAGTTGCAGAGTTATAGTCATTGATTTAGTAAAAATTTGCAATTTTAAACTTGTGTTACCCGTAACTCAAAAGGTATTTGACCTAGGGTCATGAAACTTAATATGAATGTTAATCAGCATGTGAAGTGGAGCGCCTGGGTTTTCGCTTGTGAATTTATTTGTTTTATCAGAGTTATTGACTCTGACTTAGTGAAAATTTGCAATTTTCAATTAATAAAATGTGTTTTACCTAGAGTCATGAAACTTAATATGAATGTTGGTCAGCATGTGTAGTTGTGCACCTTGGGTTTCGCTTGTGGATTTATCCAGTATTTGTAGAGTTATTGCCATTGCCTTAGTAAAAACTGTTTCATTTTGTTATGTTATTTGTTCCTTGAGTGCTTGAGTTAGAATCAACCAGCTTTACAGAAATAATGATCAATGTCACTGTGAAGCTATGCACCTAGGATTTACTGACCTTTACTTTGTATAAATTTGCAATTTTTAACTTGTTTATGCATATTTCAAAAAGTATTTGACCTGTAAGCTTGACGGTTTACAAGAATGTTGGTCAGCATGTCTACATATGCACCTTGGAGTTCGCTTGTTGATTTATTCAGTATTTGTAAAGTTCTTGACTATCAAATAAGTTACTCGAGACTAGACATCTCACTTTTTAAGATTATTATTTTAAATATATAATATTATAAAACACGATACGAAAAGTATGGACACGAATTACTGAAACGTTACGCATTGTTATAATGCGGAAATATAATATCCGAACTGAATAAAACAAACTGAAGTTTTCATTAACTTTTTAATTGTATTTAAATGTAAAACATGTTTCTATACTTAAACAGGAACGTTTTGTTTTTGGAAGAAAACCGAGCCTGAATAAAATCTATGTATTATATCAAAAACGTTTTTGTAGACTGTGGAAACGTCTCAGTAATATCAAATGGAAACATAACACTTATAGATGACGGCAATACTACATACGGTGCCTTAGCTGGAGTTGCATGTAACACAGGCTATAATAAAACCAAAGACATTATAAAATGTCATGACACCGGAGAATGGGATGTTCCTGCTTGTTACTTAATAGGTTTATACATATATAATAAACATATTGTCCAAATGTATTGGGTCTTCTTTTACCTTTAATTTAATTTATTTTCCAATGTTTAAAGCAGAATAAAGGGAAAGAAACGAAATTAACATTTAATAGTTTTAGTGCATAATATGCTGTAAATAATTTAAAGACAATTAAAATGTTAAGATTTTAACAGAATGTAGAAAAATGTCTTAATCAGGAAATATCTAGCTTGAAGATAAGCATACTATATTTTTTCTTATTTGACGAACTCTTTTTCGCGAAATATTATATTGTCGCTTCAATGGCTTCAGCGAATAAAGGTATATTTTCGTCGCGAAAATTCGTTTGTTTACAGAAGTTATTATGGTGAGTTCATATATATGCAGACTGTGGAGATGTCCTAACGATATCTAATGGAACCATTTACCTAAAAGAAGAAGGAAATACCACATACGGAGCTTTGGCGGAAGTAGTATGTGAAAGTGGCTTAAACGAGACTCTTGATATAATCGAATGTCGCGATACAGGGGAATGGGATGTCGTTGGATGTTTTTTAATTGGTATGTAATGTTTTGAATGTTGATCACTTGAAATAATTATGAAAGCTTGAGATTCCCTTGATGCCATTGTCACAATAATTCATGTTTTAGTATATTGACATGTATTAACGCAGCATGTAGTCTTTCATTGTTTTGAATTATTTGAATTAATATCTTGACAATATCTCTGATTTAAGGTTTGCGACATATCTTTTTATTTATAGTACTAACATACATGTACTTGTACCTTAATAGATATGCAGTTACATCTTTTAGAACTATCTTTTTCTCGTTTTCCGATAATAAAACGCATCTTATTTCAATATTCAAGAGGAATATAAAATAAAGTAATCAAAGTTTAATATTTACCCTCTTACAGATTGTGGAATACCTCCACTAATTGATAGAGGAAGCATTGCTTTGAGAGATGACAGAAATAGCTCATTCGGTGCTTTAGCTGAAGTGACGTGCTTCATTGGCCATAACGCGACATTAAATACCATAATGTGTCGTGATACCGGGAAATGGGATAATTCTTCATGTGAAATAATAAGTATGACGCTTACGTGTTCTTTCCTTATCTCTTTTTATATAAAACATTTTTAGTTTCAAACGAAATAGACTTTTAAATGTATTACTCGACTGACAATATAATATCATAATATCATATTACTTAAAATATACTTTTTTGACACATTGAAACATAGAAACTAATTTTATAAAACCCCCAACAAAAGAATTTAAAGGGAATATGGCAAGCACTTACGGCCCTGAAGCAAATGTAATTTGTGAGCATTTGGCTTAAATGCGACGTTGGTAATCATACCACGCCGTGATACTGGCAAATTTGCTAACACAACTTGTACTATAGTGAATAAGTTATAATTTATGTAAAGCGGTTTGTCGAAATTTTATCCAAAATATGTTTTCTTCTAGTTTATATATATGTTATAATTTAAGATTGTGGGGACGTGCCTACTGTTATAAAGGGATCTGTTACTTTATTAGAAGAAAATAACACAACGTATAAAGCACGTGCAAACGTAAGCTGTCATACAGGTTACAATGCAAGCATAGGCATTATACAATGTCTAGAAACGGGACAATGGCAAGCAACTGAATGTCAGCTACTTGGTAAATTTTCACGCATTATATAAGGTTAATGATTATAATGACCTTGGAGATTTAAAATAAAAAATAGGAACACTTATAAAGATTTCAGCATATTCACGGTAAATTTTGTCTATCACTTTGAACTCATTCCTGTTGTCACACATCAGTTTACCATTATGTAATGTAGAGCATGCATGATATTTGTTTTAAGTTTGTGAGGCTGTTCCGGACATCGCTAATGGACAAATTACTCTTACACAAGTTGGAAATACCACGTATGGAGCGATAGCGAATGTTTCATGTTCAACGGGATATAACGCGACAGTATACACTTTACTGTGTCTAGATACAGGAGAATGGGATACTGCAACATGTAATTTAATAGGTATGTTTTTGATCATATCTTATTTTGTAATATTTTGTAATTTAGAAACTTCAAGACAAACATTTTTCTTTGGAAAAGAAAATATTTTGAATTTTGAAAGAAGCTGTGTTGTTTCTATTTGTTGTACATTGTAATAATAAAAAAGAATAACTACGAGGAAGGTTTTTAAAGAAAATGTTTTGTTACATGTAATTGTCTTAAAATTTAATTATAATTCAGATTGTAGTGTGGTCCCTAAAGTGTCTAATGGAAACGTAGCTTTGCTCGGAGAAGAAAATACTACATATGGAGCATTAGCGGAAATAGCCTGTGAAACTGGTTATAATTTTTCTGTGCCAACCATACAGTGTCGTGATACCGGGGTCTGGGATACTGCTACATGCGATATAATTGGTAATAACATTTACAATTAACTGTTGATTTTTTACATTTTTAAATGTAGTGAAGGCTTCGTACTATTTTAATATTGAACCGAGCTTCTTTGAAAAAATTCGTAATTAAACATACGTCTTGATTAACCTATAATATATTCCCATGTGATATAGAATTTATAGCAAAGGACTTATTTTGATTTGAACAGTGAACAAGAATTTACTTAAATTGTTTTTTGAAACATTATGATATTAGTTTGTGAACCGTCACCAAAGATAGAAAACGGGGAAATAAATTTACAAGAAAAAGGAAATCATTTTTTTGGAGCAATAGCTCGTATTGACTGTGACACAGGATATACTGCAAGTATAATTGCTATACCATGTCGTGAAAATGGGACTTGGGATACTGTCATCTGTTCAATAAAAGGTTTGTGTTTGTATCAATACAAAGTGAATAAATCTACTCAACATTTTGGACTGTGAAACAAAAGAAATCATAATCCCTCTTTTTTGAAAACATAATTTGCAACACCTAATTTTATAATAATGTCGACTTTTTTAACATTTCTACCATAATGTAAAGGTTTTAAATGAATGTTTCTTTGAAAGTGTTTTAGACACTTATTTATTTGAATCAGATTGTGGCAGATTAGATGATCTAATGAATGGTACTATCATTACTTCTAATGGTACAACATATGGTTCAACAGCTACATATACATGTGATGAAGGTCTTGATATCATTGGTGATGTAACTCGAATATGTGATGCGAGCGGACAATGGAGTAAAACGAAGCCTGATTGTTTGCTAAAAGGTAGCTCATTATTTCAGTAAACTGTATATGAAGTTAATTGATTTGCAAACTCAATTAAATTGTTGTTTTGTTTCATGATTTCAAGAGTTATAAACAATGTGTTTGGCTGAACATTATTATCAATGCTGAATCAATTATAGTTGCAACCTTAATGATAACAAAATATCTTGCATGTTTCTTTCTTAACACCTTTAAATTGATTCATAGCTTCACATTTAAATTTATTGTTAACCAGGTGCAAAGAGATGTCCGGAAAATACCGACGCAAGAGGAAACGTTTGGAATGCAATCGCAGGGGGAAGGAATAGAAGCAACGCGTGTCCAACTAATTTTATTGGTAGGATAGGTTATGTATTTCTGTGTGTTTTAAATTGTCTTTTGTTGCCTTGATCGTGATAAGTAGACTTCATAACTTATTTCAGATTTTCGTTACATTAATTTTATTCTATTAATTTTCTCGTTTCGGACATTCTACTGATCCTACGGTGTTTCGTTTGGACAATTGTGATTTTTATTCCGTCCTTACCCGCGTAGCACGATGGTACGATGGGGAAAACGTGATGGTACGACGAAACGATGATATAAACAAACACGATGGTACGATTGTGAAATACACGAGGGTACAATGGTAACATCATGATGTCGTGAAGATACGATGGTGAAAACGTGTTTTGTGTTTTCACCATCGTACCATTGCGTTTTCACCATCGTGCCATCGCGCTTTCACAATCGTACCATCGCGTTTTCATCATCGTACCATCGCGTTTTGAACATCCTGCCATCGTGTTCTCACCATCGTACCATCGCATTTTCACCATCGTGCCATCGCGTTTTCTTCATCGTACCATCGCGTTTTCACCATCGTGCCATCACGCCATCGTACTATCGCTTTTCGGTCAGTATGACCAGTACACATACAGAAAGATGTCAGATTTTGATACGGCAGATACTAAACAAGAAGTTAAGAATATTTACTAATTAATTAGAGTTAAAAATGATAAAACCTTAATATAAAATTTTCCATTTATGTCATTATCCTGTATATTTAAAGCTAAAAGACTATTTAAAATGCTCATATAGGCTTAATACATGTTTGCATTTTTTAGCTGTATATCAACTTGAAACTTCATATGTACAGTGCACAAGGATGATAACTTTCTTTTTTTACGCTCCCCGAAGGGTAAGCATATAGTTGCCGCTTCGTCCGTCCGTCTGTCCGTCCGTCCGCTTTTCTTGTCCGGGACATCACTTTAAAACAACAAGAGGTATCAACATGAAAGTTTGTAGGTAGATATATCTAATTAAGTATATGTGCAGTGCACAAGAACTGTAATTCTGCCTTGCCTAATTTTTGAATTATTGCCCTTTGTTTATTTTTACACTTTGAACTTTGTCCGGGACATAACTATAAAACTATAAGAGATATCAATATGACACTTTGTAGGTAGATAGATCTCAATGAGTAGGTGTGCAGTGCACAAGAACCATAACTCTGCCTTGCCTAATACTTGAATTATTGCCCTTTGTTTATTTTTACACTTTGAAAATTGTCCGGGACATTACTCTAAAACTATAAGAGATATCAACATGAAACTTTGCAGATAGATAGATGTCATTGACTAAGCTTGCAGTGCACAAGAACCGTAACTCTGCCATGCCTAATTTTTGAATTATTGCCCTTTGTTTATTTTTACACTTTGACCTTTGTCCGGGACATGCAACTAAATATATGAGCTATCAAGATGAAACTTTGTAGGTAAATAGATCTCATTTAGTAGACGGGCATTGTTAAAGAACCATAACACTGTCTTGCCTAATTTTGGAGTAATTGCCCTTTGTTCATTTTGACATTTTTAACTTAGTCTGGGACATTACTCTAAAATTATAAGAGATATGAAGATGAAACTTGTACGTAGATAGGTCTCATTGGGTAGAAGTGCAGAGCTAAAGAACCATAACTCTGCCCTGCCTTATTTTGAAGTAATTGCCCTTTGTTTATCTTTACTTTTTGACTTTTGTCCGGGACATAACTCTAAAACGTGAAACTTTGTATGTAGATAGATCTCATTAGACAGAACTGCAATGCTAAAGAACCTAAACACAGTCTTGTCTAATTTTGGAGTTATTACGTTTTGTTCATTTTTACACATTTTACCCGGGACATAACTCTTAAACAATAAGATCATCACGAAACTTTATAGAAAGATAGATCTTGGATAGAAGTGCACTGCAAAAAAACAACATAATTCTGCCTTGCCTAATTTTGGAGTTCTTGCCCTTTGTTCATTTTTTATACTTTCCTGTGTTTAAAACTTTCTCGGGGAACATCACCCGGTTCAACCGGTTCTTGTTTAATTTTGGAGCGATTGCCTTTTGTTATCTTTAATGTTTTAAATACTAAGATTCCAAAGATACGCAAATAGAAAGGGTGCAGGTTAAATAATGAGAAAGCATACATTTTTGATAAAAATGTACCTTTGTGCATGGCCACTGGAAGGCGATGGCACGATTTGAAAACACGATGGTACGATGGTGAAATCACGATGGTACGATGGTGAAAGCGCGATGGCACGATGGTGAAAACGCGATGGCACGACGGTGAAAACACGACGGCATGATGGTGAAAACGCGATGATATGATGGTGAAAACGCGATGGCACGATGATGAAAACCGGATGGTACGATGGTGAAACACGATGGCGCAATTGTGCGATGGTACGATGGTGAAAACGCGTGATTTTTATTTTGTACGTACCCGCGATGCACGATGGTGCGATGGTGAAATCGCGATGGCACGATGATGAAAACGCGATATATTCGATATTTTCACCATCGTATTATCGCGCCATTGCGATATCACTATCTTACCATCATGTTTTTACCATAGTATCATCGTACCATCGCGTTTTCACCATCATACCATCGTGCATCGCGGGTACGTACAAAATAAAAAATCACGATTGTCCACACGGACCGTACTATCCCGCTTTCAATGACATGGCACGAATGAATGAAATTTCCACACACAAAAAAGCAAAAAACAAAAATCAAACAAATGAACACATCTGCGGATGTGTTGAAAATTCAAATGTCACCAATGTCATGTTCAAATGTTAATTCTGCTTAAGTCGGTGTTTAGGGACGTGAAAACTAGCTTACAAAAGCCACTACCGCATAGGAACTTGATCAGTGTAAACAAACCTAAATGTCTTGAATTTGGTCGTTTAAAGTGTTCTTTAAGGTTTCGATTTACCGTGACCAAGGAGATATTGCCTATAGATGAACGCTTTCATAAAGCTTACAAAATGCTCACTGAAGAATGAAAAATACATTATCTTCCCACCTTGAATCTTTCCTACTTGTAGAGCTGGACAAAATATCGAAAATAAACAATGTCACAGGACACGTCAAAATAGTGTGCACGACCGTGCAATGCCGTTTTAATGTGATGACTGTTTAATTTATATATGTATTAGTATATAAGTGCCACATATTATATTTACCTACATATCAAATGTTTTAGGTACTGTTAATCGACAGTGTGGAGTTGATGGACTCTGGAAGTTTCTCCAGTACCTATGCATACGTGAATCAGTTAACAAAGTGATGGAAAAGGTAAATACAATACCGTTAATTTTAAATGTCATTGTAAATCAACAATTACAGTGCTTCTTGTTAACTTACATATATATATTTTGTTAGAACTAAACGTAGATTAATGTTATGTAATAATATAATTAATTGAATGAATACGCATCCAAATTATAAATGTCAAGCAAGCCTGAAATTAATTCGCGCGTAGACACACAAGGGGTTATTTTAGTTTCTTTCAGCTGTTAGCAAAAAGTTTGATGTTATACATCTATAGATGTGTTGGAAATGTCATGACAAGGATTAAATATGCTTTGATGTTTTTACAGATAAATTTGCTAAATAAAGATACATCACAACACGATGTTTTGAACGCTTTACAAGGTCTAAACATTGTAACCACGCAAGCTGAAAATATTGCTGAGCAAGATAAACTGACTGATTTTGAAGTGAGCAGCTTAATTACATCAACGGGGACAGTTGCAGATATTTTATCATCGTCACCAACCTTAATCAATAATCAACTTACAGATGTAAGTATCTGAATTAAATTTGGAACAAAAATTCATAAATATTGTCACACCTATGGCAGTTCATGCATACCCATACCTGTTATCTGTATCCTTATGATAGTAAAATGAAGGTAATGGTATGAAAAGTGTACTAAACTGTAACCTCTAGACCATCGTGTTCTAGTATGATATTAATCAAATCATTATAGCATACAGCAAGCAATATTGAGTGCTTTACTGCTTCATTTATGCCAGGATGAAACAAATACACATGTAAATGAAAACGGATTTATGCCCCGTATCTTTCTATCAAGCACTGAGAATAATCGAGCGCACTGTCTTCGAGCGCACTGTCTTCAGGACGCCTCTTGTTAACCAGGTTTTCAATTTTGAAAATCCTGGTTATTAGATTGGGGTATGGCGGGCGGATGGGCGGATGGGCGGATGGGCGGCTGGGCGGATGGGCGGATGGGCGGGCGTCAAACGAAATTGTGTCCGCTCTGTAACTCTTCAACCCTTTGAAGAATTTTGATGAAACTTCAGACAAATGTTTACCACATCAAGATGACGTGCAGAACGCATGTTCCGCATGGCTGGCTCCAAGGTCAAGGTCACAGTGACATTAACATTGAAAATCCTGTTTACATGATTTTAACTTGATTTGGCAGTCAAAGGTCATATCATCTTTGGAGGTAATTTAAAAAAGATATGATATATTATTTCATGTCTACTTTGTAACTTGTTTTTCATTATACAGAATTATCAATATAATTATAGTGAACAAATTCTTCTGTGCTGAACTCGTCCTACATTTCTCAACGGATTTTGTTCAAACTTTCACAGAAGCTTTGTCATCAAGCACCCTGGCACATATTGTCGGGGTTTTGTGATTGGATAGTTTTTGACCTAATTATGGCCCTTTGTTTTTTTCCTTATACATAATATTATAGTGAACACTTCTTCAGTGGCAATTCCTCCTACATTATTCATGTTTTACATTGCACATAGTTACATTGTTTGTTGCTTGTATTTGTATTTCAAATACAACATATTTATCTACAATGGTGATAATTGAAAACCTGGTTTCATGGCATTGCCATGTTTCTTGTTATTTGTTAAATTATGGGTCCTTGCTATAACTAAAAAAAACAACGAGTTATCAATTTGAGACTTCATATATTGATAGACCTGATAAAGAAGTGCGGTACGAAATAATGATGTATTGATGTTATTGCCCATTGATATTTTTACGGTTAATCTTTTTTTTCGGGCTTAATATTTTTTCGGAGTATAATTTGAAATTAAAGTATAATTCAAAACTTCATAGATGAATAGATCTCATTGAGGAAGAATGTAATGCCCATGAATCTCTGTAAACCATATTTTTTATTTATTACCCATGATTATTTTGTCCGAACCATAACTATGAAGTATAATGGAGAACTCATTTTGAAATTTCTTATGTTTATATATTTTATGAAGGAATAGTACAGTACATAAAGAAAATTATAATAAAGAATACAGTGCGGGCAAATGATAATAAACCCAGTTCCTATATTAAGTCTGATTCTTTACTGAAAACAAATTCTGAAAGGAGGTTCTGAATAATTGAAGTTTAAGCAAAAATTCGGTAAAGGTTATTCTTGCATATCAGACTGGCGTTTCCGTTAGTTTTACCCAGGCCGTAAATTTCATCTGGCATGGGGTTGCCAGATGAGTCGCAAGCTGTACAATTGCACGCTTAGAATGACGTAATACTGTTATAATAATTTCATACGCTGTTGGAAGAAAGTAGTTACGGTTGTAATGACCTGAATTTCCACTGATAATTAAGATAAAGAATTTAAAATATTATAGTGGAATATGGAAGAATATGATAGAAAAAATATCTGACATATGTTTGCGGTTCTGATCGGATTTATCCGTCCCTCGGTTATCTGACTATTGGCGATAACTCGGCAAGCCTCGTTACCGCCCAATGGGCGGATCACCTCGGGACGGATATTCCGGTCCGAACCGCAACATATGACAGATATTATTAAACTATTTCCACTATCATTGTCATCTTTATATTCAGTCTAGTATTTGTCGTTAAAGAATGAGCACGAGAAGTACTGGAATAAATATGATATAACATGTTTATTGTAGACCCTGTCGGAAATGTTGTTGCTAACATTGTGAAAACTTGTAATCCGACCCATTTGGACAATTTTATGCAATTATTTGTTTTTGTATTATTCATGAAGGTATATACAAAACCAATATGTGCACTAATACATGTATATTTAAGAAATAATATCAGTCTGAGCGGTGTTTATCGGCTATTTATCATCGGTTTGGAGTTTTGATGCGTAGGAATTGATTAATTTCTTCGCATCAAAACGAGAAAACAGAAAAATGTTATTTTATCAAGTTTTCAACAATAAAAACTTACGTCTTAGAATGGATTATATTATATTTACATCAGTGCCCAATTTATCATTCTTGTATGTTTGAAATGACGTCAGCGTTTATGAATGAGTTGTACACCTAGGTTGACGTCATTACGCTGCTTACGTATTGGCGCCATTTGTCAAAACAATTATTAACTGATATGGATCAAATACGTTAGTGTATGTGAGATATTATTTCGGTATTTCATGAAAAAAAAACAACATTATAAGAACTGAAAATAAAAAAAACGTTTTTATTGTTTCTTTAAAAGGCTTTGTAAACTATATAATCGAGGGAAAAGACGTAACAGCCGCATATACAAGTAGTCCCTAACCAGTGTTTATCGGCAGTTTAACACCTTTTTTTCTTCTTTGTCTATAGTGACAAGATCACGAGGAGTGTTAGAATTTTTAACAATTATGTTTTTTACTGACTTTCGTTATGTTTGAAAGCAGAGAAACCATTATGTGTTCACGTATTTTTGCGTGTTAGTTCAGTCTTAACAACCATTGAAAAGTTTCAATACTAGTATAACTTTTTATTTTGTTCGAAGTACAACTCCTGAAGACGTATAACTCTTATTACGGTCCTATTTCCCGTTACGGTTTTGCACTCCGTACATGCTTCAACAACCAAGTATACCTATTTAGATTCCATTGATGTTAAGGGCAGTCTTTTGAAATGGATTGCCAATAAAATATTGCCATTTATGAATTGAGAAAATTATGTAAAACTTTACTTTTTATATGATACTTGTACAGTTTGCATTTCGTCGGCTGTTCATATTGTGTGATACAATGTATAAGGTTTTTCTCTACTTCTTCAGGTGTTTACTGAGTCTATAAGCAACTTGATAGATGAAAAGAACTCTGGTAGTTGGAATGCAATAACACAAACTGTAGGTTAATTAACTTTATTTTATTTAAAATTGTATTGATTAGATTTGTATATAATTTAAATGTATGAATGTAATTGAAGAAATATCATCACAATTTGCGCATTTTAACATTACAATATTTCTGTTTTTTATATTTATAGAGTAGTAAAATGACTGAGAAAATGTTAAGCTCTGTGGACACACTTAGTAATGCAATGGCAAAACGAGTAAATTCTACAGGAATTAGTTTACCGGCAGTTGTCAAACCCAATATAGGTAATATCTATACTTTCTAAATTTAACAAATTTGCTGGAACAGGTCATTATGTAGTTGTATTTCTTTTATGGCAAAGAGAAGGAAATTGAATACAAAGACAATGTCGATACCGCCATGAAATATATTAGACTTTTCTGCCTTAAGTAGAATACAAGTGCAACACAAATAGTTACGAGTATGGTTTTACTGTGTTACGAGATGTTACGCGTTTAATGATGCCAATTCCTCACAAGTTGTCTCCGAGTAGCTTTGCGAGATCTGTTTGATATTTCAGCGCTACACGTGAAAGCAGTGTCATCAAGCACTTTTGTTTTCCCTGGTTTTGATGCAGTACAGGGAACCAGCAATGATAATTGGTTACGAGCAACAAAAAGTCAAATTATTTTTAACACATCTTCCTTTGGAGGTAACTTATCTTTCTTTTTCAATGTTTTTTAATAGAATTGTTTGAGAGACGTACGTTTATATACCTTTAATATTATGTGAATTAGATTCCTTTAATAATTTTTTCTGTTTTACCTTCCAAAAGGTACAAACTGGTAACATTATAACCATATGTTGCTAGGTAAGAGGAGTATAACATTTTATTTGCTGATGATATTATAATTTTTAAAGAAGTTGTAGCACACCATGGATCTGACTTGTAAAAATATACATTTTCTTATTGTGAATAAATCTTAAGATAATTACTATTATACAATTTCATAATTATAATGCATATATAAGAATCTGTTATACTGCTATATAAAGTTAGTAGGGCGTATAACATTTTGTTTTCAGTAAATATATGGGTAAAAAACTAAATCTATTTATAATGCGCTGACCTTTAAGTAAAAATCTTCTATTGCAAAAATATACTAAAAGCTAAGCAGTTCTCAATAGCTATGTCTGATTTGTATAAGAGAATATACAAAATATGTTTTGAAAACTGCATTTCCTGTACCTGGTCAAGATAATTCGGTCTTTGCTTTAAAACACTGCTTGTTTTTTATGATTCACATTGAGTAACCATTGAAGCGTAACACATCACCTCTGTGTGTACCCAAAAGGTTTTTATTTTACATTTATAATAAGAGACTGTACAGCAATTATCAATATTTTTAAATGCCACATTTAAGCATAATATATCTTTAAAAATCTTAAAAACGGTATAGCTTTCGTGGACAGTAAAAACGAAATTTTAGTGGTGGACATGGAATACTGTTTGTTTTAGTCTGTTCATAAGCGATTATGAAATATGTAAACTCTCTCGCGCCTATGAGCAACGACTAAAGCACCCCTGAGCACCGACTAAATCTTTCTCGTCGTCACAATTAGAGTTGTAGTTTACACTAGCACATATATAATAAACACAGAAGACAATGTTTATTTTACTCACTTTATATAACTTATGCATATTATGTTTAAGAGGGTATATGTATGATGAGAACACATTAAAGTGGTGTTAAACTCTAAGGTCATCAAATAAAGGAAAGATACAGTCTCGAAGACCCCTTTTAAACATAACAACATAGAATTGAAGAAAATTGTTGGCATTTTAACAGCTGCCTCACAACATTTAAAACAGCGTGCCTCTAATTTCATGCTTATTTTCATGAATATTTCAAAAATGTACTTTACAGTAAAATTTTGTGAGTGAGTAAAGAAAGTAAAATTTAATGGTGTTATATTTTCGATCCTTGAAGATCGTTCAGCACGACATTATTGTTGTGCTTGTGGTATTTTTAGTTTAAACTTTTCGGCATTTTCTAGTTGGGTGGTTCCAATATTCCTACTTGAATAATGTTGAATCACCCTTAGGATAAGTTGCCTGCTTTTTAAATTTGTCTTTTGACGTCTTATCTGTGATATGCAAGCTTCATAACCTCTGATCCACTTTCAAAATTCCATTTTAATTAGTTCCGCCCATTGTTTTCTCGTTTAGGGCACACGCTTTTTATTAATTGGGGACCATACGCCGCTTTTCATGGAATGGCACGGTAGTGTCACATTGAAGGTTCCATGATAACCGCCGTATAAACACATCTGCGCATGTTTCTAAATTCAAAATTTGACTTTTTCATGTTTAAATGTTGAATTCTGCTTAAGCCGGTGCTAGGGGGCGTGGACGGTAACTTGCACTTTCCAGTACCGTCCATGAACAGGCTTAATCAAACCCAGCCTGCAAGATTTTCAATTTTGTCGTTTTGGACTTTCTTTAGGGATTCTGTATTTATCTATTTTACATATTGCAAACGGCATTTACACTTCACAAACATAAATGCGGATGTTTCTAAATTAAAAATTCGCTTTTTTTGTTTAAATCTTGAATTCTGATTGAGTGTCGATGATAGCGTGCAACTTCCAGTACCGTCTATGAACAGGGTCAGTCGAATTGGGCCTACGACATTTTAATGTTAACGTGTTTGGCGTTCTCAAAGGATTCTCAATGTTATTATCAACTATTTATGTCAGAAAGGTTTTTGATTGTTCAATGATGATTGATTACTTTGTCGAACTTTTTCTTACAGGAACATCTCAGCAATCTGTAGTATCAGCTGCAATATATAAAGATATTTCAAATATAATGCCGGATAAAAGGTAACATTATAACATCACATCTAGTAATTGACTATTTGATATGACAGTATAACAATGTTACAATGTGATACAATTACGTCAAAAGTAGATTCTTCTTTGGAAAATTTTGCTTATTTTATGGACAACTTACATAATTGTTGAATCATTTTTCTATTTTCAGTGACAACGAGCAGCTTAATGGTCAAGTTTTGTCATTTTCCACATTACCTCCATTAAGTGGCACTATTGATCCGCCAATTACAATGTCATTTGAGCAGACTCATGTATGTACTATATCTAATTAACTACATACTATTGTGTTATTGAAATCAGATAATATATTTTCACTGTACGCAGTGCAGAAAAGAATGTTACATAAGTAAGTAGACATCCGAAAAACACTCAAGTAAAATATGTTTTATCACGAGGAACACACGGAAATTTGCACTTGTTATGTAAAAAAATGTAACAAATTCGTGAATTTTTACAGAACAATTTTTCAAGAAATATGTGACGTTATGAATTCAAGCTGGTGCCGTTTCCTCGCAAAACATTGTAAAAAGATTTGGATTTATTTGTTGTTTGATGTTTGTTGTTTGGCTATTCAACATATGCGTTTTACTTTAAAAATATAGATCCGTTAGAAAGTGCATTAATATAATGATAAATAGGGAACTTTGATAATACAAATGACGCTAATCAATTTTCAGGAACAATTGACAAGAGCGACATGCAGTTTTTGGAAATTCGGAAATAGGTAACATTTTTTTTTTTTTTTTTTTTTTTAATTTTCAACAACCAAACAATTCTGCAATACTTCATTTGGAAAAAAACCTTATCTGTCTGAAAGATTTCTTTTAAATTTTCAAATTATATTTGTCCAGATAAATTTCAAAATAAAATAACAATTTTAAATATCAAACACATTCATGTTTTCTTGTTTCACTGGATGGCAACATGACTGTTTGCTTCATTCATGTTTAATTCATATCTGAAATGAATTAAAAAGATGTTGTTTTAGCGGATCAGGTGCTTGGTCAACTGAAGGATGCACTGGTAGATCTATCAGTGAAAATGTTACAGAATGTGAATGCAGTCATACAACAAATTTTGCTGTAATCCTAAGTTTGCAAGGTAATATAATTATCTATTGAGTCGAGTTATCCGAAGTATGTTTCTGTAAATTATACAAATGCATTTAGATAATACGGAGTCTAATAATAACATATTAGTATCAATATATGCATAATATTATACTACATTGAAATGAAACGTTCCCGGATTTTTATGTTTGACTGATTGTTATTCAGAAAGTCTATTTTGTACTTAATATTCAATTTAGCAAAGAGAATGATTTGTAAAAACCAACAAACTTGTCACATTTGTAAATCATTTTTCAGATTGTGGAGGATTGGGTTCCCTTAGCAATGGTGAGATTGACAACTCTGCTGGCACGAAGTACAAAGCAACGGCAAATTTCAGATGTAATGCTGGATATAATATTAATGGGGCTAATACAAGCACGTGCTTATATAATGGCTCTTGGAGCTTCCCAGTTCCATCTTGCTCTATCAAAGGTAATATTATTTACTATTTAGATATAACTTAACATTCATACTTTTGCCAAATTGTCATTCTAATTGGAAACGTTTATAATTGTTATCGTTATAAAGTATTATTCTGATGTAATTTTCTTTTGAAGATTGTGGTAATCTCAGTTATCCATTAAACGGTATTGTGTCAACACCTGAAGGAACGACATTTGACAACGAAGCAGTTTACAGTTGTTACAACGGATATAATTTAAATGGCAGAGAAACTCGTCTTTGTTTATCAACGGGATCATGGTCCTCCACTTCCCCGACATGCGTGAAAGGTATTTGAATTTATTGCACTTATTTATAATTCATATTCACTTTAAACGTCATTTTATCATTAAATTTCCATTCAACTATAACTTTTGTTGTTTCTTTTCTCCTCAAGTAAAATTTAACCATCTGAGCTTACGGAGGTGGATTCATAAATACTCATGCAAGAAAAGTTTCATAAGGCTAGTCTGGTGTAATTATCCCCCGCCGATGGAATCGGGAGGGGGATATTGTTTTGGCATTGTCCGTCCTTCCGTCCGACCGTCCGAATTTCGTTTTCGTGCTAGTACTCTGCAACTACTGGCTGGAATTCAATGACATTTTATTGGAATCATCAATATCAAGGGGAGATGCTCATATCGTCAGCTTGTTTCAGTCAGACAATTTAACACAGAGTTATGGCCCTTGATTTATTATGTATTATACATATAGAACAAAAATCGTTTCCGCTCTACTTCTCTGCAACTAATGGCTGGAATTCAACAAAACTGTATGGGAACCTCTAATACCAAGAGAAAATGCGCATATCGTTGGCTTGCTCCGGTCAGACACTCAAACTCCGAGTTATGGCCATTGATTAGTTATGCAGTATGCATATAGAGCAAAATCGTTTCCGTGCTACTTCTCTGCAACTACTAACTTGAATTCAACGAAACTTTATGGGAACCTTTAATACCAAGAGGAGATGCACATATCGTCGGCTTGTTCCGGTCAGACACTTTAACTCCGAGTTATGGCCCTTGATTAGTAATGCAGTATGCATATAGCGCAATAATCGTTTCCGCGCTACTTCTCTGCAACTACCGGCTGGAATTCAACGAAACTTTATGGGAACCTTCAATACCAAGAGGAGATGCGCATATCTTGCCTTGTACCGGTCAGACTCTTCAACTCAGAGTTAAAGTCCTTGATAAGTTATGCAGTATGCATATAGAGCAATAATCGTTGCCGTGCTACTTCTCAGCAACTACTGGCTGGAATTCAACGAAACTTTACGGGAACCTTCAATACCAAGAGGAGATGCGCATATCATGGGATTGTTTTGGTCAGACACTTTTACTCAAAGTTATGGCTCTTGATTAGTTATGCATTATGCATATTGGGCAAATTTTATGGAACCGTCAATACCAAGAGGAGATGAGCATATCATCGCCTTGTTCCGGTCAGACACTAACTCAAAGTTATGGCCCTTGATTAGTTATGCAGTATGCATATAGAGCAATAATTGTTTCCACGCTACTTATCTGCAACTACTGGCTGAAATTCAATTAACTTTTATGGAAACCATTAATACCAAGATGAAATAAGCATAATATGTTGCCTTGTTCAGACCAGACCCTTCATTACAGAGTTATGGCCCTTGATTAGTTATATAGTACGCATATAGAGCAATATTGCTATTTCTTTGCAACTGCTGTATTGATTTCAACAAAACTTTATGGGATCCATAGATACATAAAGGCAATTTACATCTCATTGCAATGTCCAGATATTACTATTTAACACCCGAGTTAAAGCTCTGTTATTGCCTTGAATATTTTTTTATGTACAAAGAATATTACTGTTTATGCCATGATAAAAATATAAATAAAGCCTTATGTCTTCAGTTGTTGTCCCCCGCCTTTTCGAAGAAAAAAGGGCGATAGAGAAATAGGCTCTGTTCGTCCGTCCGTCCGTCTGTCCTTCCGTCCGTCCGTCCGTCTGTCACACTTTCGTGTCCCGTCCATAACTTTGTCATTTATCATAGGAAATTTGAAATAACTTGGCACAAATGTTTATTATGATAAGACGATGTGTCATGCGCAACAACCAGACCCCTACCTCCAGGGTCAAGGTCACAATAGCTTATTCAAGGTCAACATTGTCTATTTGAGGGTTTATGTCGTGTCCGGTCTATAACTTTCTTATCTTTGAAGGGATTTTGTAAATACTTGCCACAATTGTTTACAATAATGAGGCGATGTGTCATGCGCAAGAATCGGTCACCTACCTTCAAGGTCAAGGTCACACTTAGAAGTAACGTTCATATAGTAAATATGAAATCAAGTCTGCGACCATCATTTGCACAACATCATATTTGACTACGAAAAACATGCAGACATTCATTGGACATATTACAGTCTATTGCGTTAATCATCTACTTTCGTTATTCTTAAATAGAACTTATTACTAGTATAGATCTTACACGAAATTAGTAATGATTATTTCTTCATTATCCTGTAGAAGTACAAACACCTAAAACTTGTAAGGAGAATGTAGACAGTAGAGGACTAACTTGGCCAGAAACAGTATCTGGAAATACTCAGGATAAACGTTGCCACAGCGGATTTACAGGTATCAGTAATACTTTTTAGCATTCATTGTAAACTCTCATTTGAAAATAATTCAACGTAGTTATTGTAAGTTAGACCTTATATCATATATGTATAGTTAACAGTTTCTCCTTTTTACTGAAACACTGAAAAACTATCCAAATTCACTGTCAGTTATAAAAAAGTTGATGATTTTGTTGTTTTTTTTCTTCCATTTTTGTTCTGATATCTTTGTTATTTTCTAAAGATAAAGAGCCATCCAAATTTAGTCTGTCGTGATAGATAAATTAGCTGATTTAGAATATCTTGCTAACGTATTTTATATATTTACCTTAAAATCCAAAGTATTGTAGCTCATATATTTAATTACAACAAATCTTTAGGTTCGATATCTAGGACATGTGGTGCTGGCGGAGTGTGGAACTTGCCGCAATATGATTGTGTTCGTGAATCGATAGTAAAAGTTAATGAAAAGGTTAGTGTGTCAATACAATTTTATTCTTGTAATAGTTAAGTGACAAAAATGTTGATAATTGTGTGTGTTAATCATTTCTTCCATTGTTATTTTGATGACTTTATGTTTAAAGATTTAGGACTATTCACATTTATTCTGTCACTAAAATAATGTGTTTTATTTATTGAAGTAAGCCCTTCTACAAACTGTTCATAAAAATAAAAGTGAAAGATTATTTTCACCACTACTTGTTTTCTATCTAGTTAGCTTATTGAAGATTGGAGTGTCTATCCAGCCGCCCAAGTTTGTCTTTAATCAGAATTAAGTGGTACCTTATGTCTAACAATGACTTACATCAGCAATAAAGCTGGAGTTTATGACTGAAAACCATACAAAATGAATTAGTGCTATTTGACTAATTGTGTACACTTAGGTATCAACGCTGAGTAAAAATGCAACCGGGGATGAAGTTGATACTGTCTTGGAGGAAATTTTAAAAGTGACAACCGTAAATGAAACAACTGATAACAACAATACTTTAACTGATGGCGAATTAAGTGTTCTATCTGCATCGCTTGAGACAGTAGCGGATGTGTTGGCAACATCTTCTGGAATCATAAATGAAAACATTACTGATGTATGATATGAAAATAATTTTTGTTAAAATTAGTATCATTAGCATAAAAGATCTCATTATAAGACATTAAAGACATTTAAATGAGATTTGTCTTAAGAGAACGAGAGCTATCTCCATGATCTCAGCACATGGTAAAGATTTGGATTCACTACTGAAATTTGTTATTTGAATTTTCATATATATCTTTGCGGATAAAGGTATTTAATTTTGTATGAAATATAAATTGTTTAATTTTCAGAACATACATCAAACAACAACTAGCATAACTATTATTATTTAATAAAGCAATTATAATATTATAATACAGTAAAATAAGATGAGTTTAACTCTATTGTCACTCACTAAAACATTGTTGTTTCATAGAGTGTAACTGGATAATTCTCCTTGCGATGTTAAATACATTTTTGTTTTTCTCCGATAGGAATTCCTAGAAATTGCGAGTAATCTTGTCGATGAGTCCAATCAGGAGAGTTGGAAGTCTCTTTCTCAGTCGGTGTGTATTGGGCGAGTCTACGTCCTTTGTATTAAATATTGAAGTTTCCAGTTCAAATGAGTGACTATATTACATTAATTTAAAAAAATAATAATAATCAAACAAAACTGGTATTTTAATTTTTTGTTTTTTAAAATAATACATTTACATTTAGCATAGTAGACCGAATGCTGATCAAGCAAATAGGTATTGCACTTTTATACTCTAGCTGTCAATTAGCCTGTCCGTTATTTTCATAATATTTGTTATTTCCTCTGTGAATTATCTCGTAACTTGATTTCTTTTTTGAATTTGGGGCACATATTTGGCTTATTCAAATATGTAAACAAAACGTTATGGACAGCAAAATATTTCAATTTTCTAGGAGAACAACGACGAGTCAGCAAGTGTGCTAAAGGCAGTTGATTCCTTGGCTGAGGTCCTGAGTAATTCAATTAAGGATGATCCCGAAAATAATGGCACGATAATCGTGAAGAAAAATATTGGTATGTTTAAAATATGAGAGCCAATTAGGTAGAGCTAGATATTTTAGAAAATACAAAATTGTATGTTCCTAGAATATACAAAAGGATGTTCACATAATATTAATTCATCTAGAACGTTATGTTGTTTAACATTAAAACAAAAAAAGCAAATGGAACACACGCACGTACGCACGCACACACACACGCACGCACGCGCGCGTGCGCACGCACACACACACACTCGAGAAAATTAAAATGATTGGGTAGAAATACATGTAAGCTTTCAATGATACCGCGTTCATCAAAATCCGTTCACTTTAGCTGTGTTGATAGCTTGCATTACTCAACTTGTATACAGTAATTATAAAATTGGTTGGTATATCAGAGTATGCCATTGGAATACTGTCTTATATGAAGAATCGTAGTTTCCTTGGCATAGGGTGTAAAGGCATTTCTGTATATTGATTATTGTTTTGTATGTGTCGTCCATGTTGAGGAACATTTTTTTATTAACACGTCATTGTTATTCGCCAATACGAAAGCACCAACACACGATCTGGGCTGCAAAGTCTGGAAAAATACTATGCATTGCATAAAAGACCATCAGTATAAAGAAGAAAGAGTATGCCATTTTGTTTGCAACTCAAGGCCCCCGTCACTCAGGTTGCTGTTTTTTGTTCAAGGCAAATCTGTTAATGAAAAATTTTACATGACAAAAGCTCTTCAAAAATTAAACAAATACTCTCAAAAACGGAAGACTCACAACAGGTTTTGCCAATGTCAGATTGCTGCATGACGACGCGTCATCGCACAAAGCGTTTATAGTGCAAAACTTTCTGAAGCAGAAAAAGATCGTTGTGCTTCCCCATCCTCAGTATTTACGCGATCTTGCCCGTTTTGACTTGCTAATAATACCTTTCAGGCCGAAAATTTGTTCGGCGCAAACACCCCAGGCTTCAATATCCCAGTGTCTTCATAGTATACCTAAAAATACTATGAAAATGTCTTCAAATATTGCAACCGAACACTAAAACATAGTATACATTGCATCTGTTTGAGGTAAATACTCTGAGAGAACAAAATGAAAAATAAAATATGTGAAACCTATAGAGAATCATATTTTACGTGCTAAGATGCTTTTATATTTGAGCACTCTTCGAAAGTTTAAAAAAGATAAAAAATGAATGCTAAGTCAGCCAGGCTTGTAATTGTCTATCTCGAGTATTTTTAATAAAGGCACAAATATTTGTTTTTCTATTTTCAAAATAATCTTTATTTACATGCAAAATATAAAGCCAGCGGATTTATTATGATATTTCACTTATCAAGACAGTTAAATTTATGATAATCGACCTTCACTTTTTATAAATACAACGGATTGTTCTCTTTTGGATACATTTAAAAATCTCTGATTTTACTCAAGACATTTTCAGGTTATTATCGAACCGTGAATTAAACAGCTCCATATGTGGCCACAAACCACAATATCCTAATTACCATTTTGCGTTAATTGAAAATTATTTTCAAAAATTACATTGATTTTTTTACATTTACAGCAATTGATGTAAAGAAAGTTTCGAAGAAAGGTGTATTATTTCCGGATCCAGACAAAACAGTGTCAGACAAAGATGATGCAAACGTCAACTGGTTTAAACAGGCCAAGAGCAGTTTACGCTTAGAAGCAGCCGCTTTCAAAAGTATTTTTTCAGACTACTTTTAAACTGCATATAATCATATGTTAACTATTCGTTTCGTCACATTATTCAATGTTTATTTTGTAAAAAGTATTATTTGATTATTATATACAAGTTTTACAGCTATGTGCGAGTCAAAAGCAATTAGTATTGTTCTCAGCAATGTATAATGACCGCTTAAATTCACATTATCATTTCTTGATATTTTGACAGAAAGTTGTTACCAAATACAATTTTTTTTGACCGAGAAAATAAAATTGAGACTAGATTAAGTACGATATGCATATGATACAGATGATATTTTGGAATGAAAATGAACACGAGCCTATATAGGCATGATATCCATTTCAATTGGTTTTTCTGAACAATGAAATGAAAACGAGGCTATATGAGATATAATATGCATTTTATGTGGATATGTTTTGGACTAAACTGATAGAGATTTCAGTTGAAACATTACATAGTTCAAACTTTGAAAGTTCATTGTTTATATCGTATTAGATGAGAAAAAGTAAAATATTTGAATAGTGTTTGATTGACGTTCTTCTCATAACATTTTCTTTTCTAAAAGAAAGATATACCGCTTCCGCAGACATTGACCATGCATTCATTTAAATATATTTTGTTTTGAAAATTAAGAATATATAAACCTCAAAAATATTTCACAACACATTCTACTCTATTTCAGATAAAACAGTGCAATACGCTACAACAGCCGTCATGTATAGAGATTTGTCGAAAATCTTGCCAAACAAACGAAACAATACAAATAACAAGTATTGGCTTTCTTTTTTAACATACTTAATTGTGTAATATCGGAACATTTAGAAAGATTGATTTACATAATTCGGAATGACCATGATTTGATTATACCCGTTTTTGAATAACATAGTATTACGGTAAAACAGTTCTCTGTTTGAGCAAGTACACATTTGTTCAATGAATTGTAGTTATGTAATACGTCTAAAAGCATGCAATTCATGCGTTGTTTATTCAGCTGTACTTGAATGTGTTATATCATGATAGACACTTCTATATGACTCTTGCGTTTTGTTTGTTTTAAAAAAAGGATTTTTCATTTTCATATCGTATTGTAATCATTATCTTTCCATTTCCAGTGCCCCATACTATCAGTATATATTTTACAAATACTTACAAGTATGATTACATGTTTTAATATATATGTTCAATATCTCAAACAATATATTGAATCCAAACTTTTGTTTTGTTACAGTGCGGAGGATACTGATGATGTTATAAATGCACCTATTCTTTCATTGACAATTTCACCACCAGTGTCGGATAAATTGGACCCACTACTTCAATTGAATTTTACTCATGACATGGTAGGAACTTTTAAGTCTATTAAATTAGAAAAGCTGTAAATCGCTAGATATAAACAATATTTCTTGTTGTAAAAAAAATATCGACATTGATAATTTATATACAAGGCGCATCTAAAAGCAATAATGTATGTTATAAGGTTCTTACACCGGCTTGCAGTACAGAGCAAAATATCTACCATATTTCAGGATTAAAGTATTAAAGAAAGACTCGCATTAATTTCTCACTTTTTCTTATTATAGCATATAAATTTACAACTTCGTTCAAAACGTTCAAAACGGCAAAATGACATCATCCTAAAAATATTAAGTTTGTGTAATTTTCTTGATTATTGATTCTTTTAATTAAAGATTGAAAAAAACAGTTTAAGTCAATGTAAATGTTGTTTTCTTCCTCAATTAAGATACATTATGCTCGCTGTGTTTACTTTTTCTGTATCTTAAATATACATAATTTACAAGTAATTTATACTGAACTATTTTCTTGATATCAAATGGGTTCATTTTCGTTAATACTTTAGCATTTATATAGTTAGTGTTTAATTAGACTAGTATGTCTATCAAAAACACCTAGTAGCATTGTACATGTATGACACGTTGAGTCTTCTCAATGCCATGCATTAATTAATAGACTCAATTCATTGTTAATTTTCTAGCCATTGTTCATTTGTTATCATCCTGCAAAATGTTGTTTACCTTTACTTCTAGGCTGTCAAACTGATGTTTATTCTCTCTTTGAATCTTCAATTGTATTTATGTATAATAAACGCTTGTTCAATTCAAATTATAAAATAGATGCTCCTGTCCTATATTACAGACTAATTTCTCCAATCCATTGTGTTCGTATTGGGCATTTCCAATGTAAGTAAGCTTCGATATCAATATATACAATATAACACGTAAACTGTTTAAGAAATTATATTAAATATAATGAATGACTCTTGTATCGATAACATTAAGTGTTTTGGAGATAACCAATTTATTTACTTCAAGCAGGTGCTAAGGCGGTAAGAAATCATTTTGCTGTTCTGTAAGTTAGCATTTGGCATTAAAAATTCTAGGTACAAACTGATCGTACATTAAATTATGCTTTATGTTTTTTCAGTTTTGACTGAAATTTGCTGAAGTTTTCTTTTTATTATATCATAATGTTTATGTTTTTTAAAGTGGTAACATTGAACAAGGCTTTTGGTCTTCAGAGGGGTGTGTTGTAAGAACTACAAATACTTACTACACAATTTGTGAGTGTGACCATCTGACCAACTTTGCTGTTTTGATGAGCCCTTTTGTGGAGGTATGTTTGTGTGTCTTCATATATTTAAATTTGTTTTTTTTTTGTATCAACTTATGTTCATGTCGTATAAAATTATAAATTTGCTTCTTGATATCATGCAAGGGTTTAACAAGTTATAATCAAAAATGAAATGGTGAATTAACGTTATGAGATTTATGCACATCAAACATTAGGAAGGTTTACAGTATTCTTTGTTTAGTTTACGATATTACTCAATGATTAAGTAGGACACACTTTAAAACTTTGTATTGTAATATATATGTACTTTGATTATTCTAAATAACTGTTAAACACGAGAACGGAACGTAATTAAGCAATGTATTGTTTAACACATTAATTCTTACGTTTCTAGGCAGATGCAGCATCCAAAGCACTCCGAATAATTTCTATGACCGGTATCGGTATCTCAATAGCTTGTTTAACAGTTACCCTTATCGTTCACGTTTTCTTTTGGAAGTAAGACTTTATTTTTACTAGGGGTTCAATGTATCAAAATCCAAGGCTAAGATCAAAATCTAAGGCTAAGATATTAGTTTTCTTATTAATATCTAATTATTGAGTTGTTTTTGATTTTTGGTGTGTGGATTCATGCACGTATCACTATTGGGTAAAAGTTTTATTAATTAAGTTTGTTAAAGAAAGTTATGTACATCACTGAATAAAGAACATCATTTTTTATTTTAAAAGTATCGTCAATATTCTTAAACGATAACTAGGTATTAATGAAATAAAAATGAACAGTAAAATGGATTTGTTTAACATATTATTCTGACAAGTCGGAATATTCGTAAGTACTCTATAACATTATAAACAAATGCTATAATTGTTTTGTTTGAAGTCGATAAAATTATTAAAATACAACATGCATGTATTTAACTAAAATATTTTCACTTTCTTTTGAACAAAAGGTATCTGCGGAATGATCGCACCACTGCCTTGATAAATTTGTGTGTAGCCCTTTTACTTTCCTACATTCTATTTTTGGCGGGAGTCGACAGGACCGAAAGTAGTGTAAGAAGTTATCAATCGTGACTTTTAAATACGATATCTATTTGAATTTACTTTGATCCATATATAAAGGTAGCAAATTCTCAAAGTTAAATAAAAGAACAATAATGATAGCAAAGCTCTTAAGGCGAAACAAATGTTAATTGAATGCAGTCACCAATATTATGTGTACATATCTTGAGCTCTGCTTTAGGCCAATTTTTGAATTAATCCTTTGAAGGCAAGCAAATTAGTCATGCTTTAAAGCTTAAAACTTAGCTTAAACTTAGAAAATATTGTATTTACTTGTACGATCACAGTTTGCCTTAAAGTTATCATTGTATTAATTTATACAATATTTTTCTTACATACGCAAGATTAACCTGTATATTAGCTAATGGAACTTAGATATCTATACATGTTTACAGCGTTGGACACAGATACATATCAAGTTATAAATGTTTTGTCTCGTTCTTGTGATAACGAATTATATTTTATATCCATTTAAAAATTGAATATTGTTTTTGCATGTTCATACTGCTTTTTAACTTTTGCATGATTAATTATTTTATACCAGACGCGAAATGACTTCATAGTTATTGTCAGGCAAATTTGTAGAAATTTGCATGTTTATTTCTTTATATAGAAATTTGTTAAGCAAAACGTCTCCAGATTTATTTAGCTTTTTTTGTTTATATAAATAAAATGAAAATGTACTTACTTGTAAGCATGTTGTTATGTGAGTGTGCAAATTAAGTGAATTAACTTAATATCCCCAAAATGACTTTAAACAGGTCAAATTGCAAACATAGCCCATACACTTGAAGTAAGGGGATAAAAAGTATGTTGATAAGAATATGAATGCAAGGTGTGTCTTGTATTATGGATTTGTCATTTAAATGTGCTTTGATTTTTTTTTAATTTGTAAAATTATCTGGGGGCGTGTAACTGTATTAGAACTTTTTGATATCGGTGTAATATACATATATGTATTTGCCTGCAGGTCGCATGTGCTGTTATTGCTGCTGTGTTACAGTATATATATTTGGTTGTGTTCTGCATTATGCTGGTGGAAGGCATTGAAATAGCTATCATTGTACTCTATGTGTTCAAAACAAAGTCAAGAATAAGAATCATGCTTATATTTGCTTGGGGTAAATCCGAATTTAAATTCCGACTTTTGTTGATATTTTAAAATATTATGTAATAATTTTCAATACGGAAATTCAACTAAAGATAAAACTAATATTAGTAAGAATTTTGCATTATTTTACATTGTTTTTCATCAATAAATCTGATGATGGTATTGAGCCATTTTTTTGTTTTTCACTTTTATCGGGTGTTCTACCTGTACTATATTGATATCGAAAAGTTCAAGATATTTCATAACATAAATGCCGTAAATGTCTGTATTTAAACTGTAGATTGATGGTAGGTTTCAATGTAGATGGTCTCACATCTGAATTAAGAAACCATTGAAACATTTTTCACCAAAAGTATCTCGTCAGGGTTCATTATACATTTTACTATAACATTTCTTTTTCAACACTTAACACTACCATTATTGTATAATGAGCAACAAAATGATATTGCTGCACTTTTATTGCAAATGTTTATGTTTTTTTAATATTGACAATACCCACCATTATTGAGTCACTTTATATTAGCTTTGTTAGTACAAACGGTAAACATTTAAAATATATCTGTTTAAATACTTTTGATAGATAATATAAGTGTTTGTTTTGCACGTGTAATTATTTGTGTTTACAGTGATACCTGCCATTATTGTGGGAATTTCTCTCGGTGCTGCACAAGCTGAAGGCTATGGCAACGACAATTTGTAAGAAACTACTTTTATTTAAACAACTTAAAACAATACTTGTACGTTCTTGATAAATACTTTATAAATCAGTATTGTTTTCATCTCACGCAATTTATTAAAGTTTGATGTGAATAAACTTTGTATTGTTATCAGATTATAATTATTAGATTTTTGTTGATTTTAATGTCTTTGCAACGCATTATTTATTTATTTTAGTTGCTGGCTGTCTGTTGAAAATGGCTTGATTTGGTCTTTTGTTGGACCTGCATTATTTATAATTACTGTAAGTATGATTAAGAATCCAATGCGTATGCGTTTTTAAATAACATTGTTACGTGCCTTTGACTGGCCGATCTTGGCGTTACAGGTTATAAACGTTAATAGCTTGAATTTGAAGAGGAATCTATTTGGTGTGGATATTGGTTAACACTAGAATATGACCACTATTTATTTTTTCGCTCAATAGGTCAAAGTTCAGTCACCGTTGCCTTGACCACTGATAGCTTGTTCGACTAATAACTAGAAAACGCTTTTTTTCCAACAGTATTTTGAATCGCTATAGTGGTTAGCATAACAATGTATTAACCACTGTTGATTTTTAAGTATGACAAAGGTCAAGTTCACTGTTGTTGTTAACATCACATTCCAAAGCTTTTGTTTGGATGTTGATTATGGCTAGATAATGAACACTATTTAATTTGAGGGTAATAATGACTAATAATTACACATCTTAATAGTCATGGTCATAGTTGCATATAAGCAATGACTAGAGATTTAGTGTGAAAGATGATCTTTAAGAGCAGATAATCCTGATTTAAAGGTCAAAGGGTCAAAGGCTAAGGTCACTATGACAAAATTTGTAAAGTACCTGTTGTTTTCCTTACTTGAGAAGGAATAATACTAAGTTTAATGGACCTAGTAGTGTGCGAAGTCCTTTTCTTATCAATTACTTAAAGTTTATGTACATGACCAATGACATATAGGAAACACCTGCTGAGATAACTGTGGCACATGAAATACGTTTTTAATCAATAATAAGCTTGTCCTCGGTCATATGATTGCGAAACAATTTGACTTTTACAAAATATGCACAAAAGTATTTTAATAATTCACAAAGAGAGCAAATGAAGTAGGGACATCATTTTTTTCTATGGACACATTTCTATAATGTATACTTTATATTTGAAATGGCCTTCATAAATCATGAAAATGCAGCATCATGTTTGCCAAATGTTTTCACATAACTAGAAGTGAGGGAAAGTCACAGTGTGCAGTGTATTTTATTTCAAATAAATTGAAGCGTCTTTCATTTTTATTTCAGTTCAATGGAATATGCTTAATTATTGTGATACGCATAATGTTCAAAACTAAAGCAATGGAGACGAAGACAGCTTCGGTAAATATTACTCAGAATGGCAACAAATTATTTTTTGAATGAAATGAAAATGTTTATTTTACCAAAACATAAAGATCGAACATATTGAGTATCAGTTTAGTTATATGAGCAATTAATAACTTTCAATTTTGTCTTTCTCGTAAACAATTTTTGCATTTTCATGTTGAATAAGGTTACATGACGTGTTCATGCAGATTATCATCTTTTTCACACATAAATGAATTGTTGTAGAATAATTACAGTTTAAAACTGAAAATAGAGAACAAAAATAAAGTTAACATAAAAGAGGTTACTTATTTTATGTGTTTCAAATGAGTAAACAGTAATTCTTATGAATAAGATTCTTACTTTTAAGCAGTTTCTACAATGAACAGATAAATTATACCTATCACATCTGGTCTGATAATTAAAGTACTAATGTTTTATTTATGCAGAACAAGCTTCCGGTCATTGTGTGTGCTAGTTCCTGTTATGGGAGTGTCCTGGATTCTAGGAATATTCTACGTGAATGATAGTTTTTACTTCATTCAGTATATTTTTGCAATACTAAATGGACTTCAGGTAACTTAATTTCTGGTGATATAGAAATGCGTCTTTTCCTTATTTAGTTGCTACTTGGTCATGTGGCAAAAATATAAACTTCATTTAACAATATGTGAAATGATATAATACGTTCATATCTAATCATGACTACCAGATGCAGTTGTAAAGTATTTGTTAATTTACTCTCTGAACATGAATTAAGAAATTACATCGGTCTGAGCGGTGCTTATCGGCTATTTAACACCGGTTTGGAGTGTTGATGCGTAGGAATTGACCAAAAAGGCCGCAGGCCTGAGTGATTGTTTTTTTCCGCATCAAAACGACAAAACCAATGTTAAATAGCCGATAAACACCGCTCAGACCGATATTATTTCGATTATAACAATACAAAATAAGGAAGATCCCTTCTGTTATTTTTTCAAGCGAAAATATACGGTGCCGATTTTTGTATAATGCTTCTCGATTTCGCCCCCTACTGTTCCTTAATTATTGAAATTATTAAACAAAAAAATTATAAGAAAAAAAGTAATTTTATCAAGATTTCAACAATAAAAGCTTACATCTTACAATGGATTGTATTGTGTTTACATCAGTGTCTTGTATGTTTGAAATGACGTCGGCGTTTATGAATGAGTTGTTTACTTAGGATGACGTCATTACGCTGCTTACGGATTGGCGCCGTTTTGTCAAAATAATTATTAACTGATATGGATCAAATCTGTGGCGTTAGAGTATGAGAGATATTATTTCGATATTGTGTGAAAAAAAAACATTATGATAACTGAAAATTTAAATAAAAATGCGTTTTATTGTTGCTTTAAGAGGCTTTGTAAACTATATAATCGAGGGAGAAAACATACCAGCCGCATATACATGTAGTCCCTAACCAGTGCTTATTGGCAGTTTTACACTTTTTTCTTTGTCTATAGTGACAAAATCACGAGGAGTGTTAGAATTTGCAATTACGCTTTTCTCCAGTTTTTTTCTATAATAGGCATAATCAATCAGTGTCCAAATACATGGTTTTCAATGTGTTTAAAATTTACACTTATTTATTTCAAAGATTTGTTTTAAAGAATATAAAAACACAACAAAAATGTTATTTAATAAGGAAAAATAAAATAACTTTATTTCAAAGGTTTGACTGTGGAATTTGGAAAGTGTTTGGTTAGCTGTTTATAAAATTTTTATCTGAGAAAAAATGTTATCATATATTAAATTATTAAATATATTCTAAATCGTTATTCTTTCTTTTTCAGGGATTTTTTATATTTTTATTTCATTGCCTCTTAAATAAACAGGTAAGTAATTACTTTTGTTAACCGTGTAAGAAAAATAAATTTAAGATCACTATAAAATAGAGTTTTTAAATAGAATTTCTGAACGAGCATATGATGTAGGCTTATCAGCATTTAATTGTATAAACCTCAGCAGAAAACTACAATGGACGATGGTGAAATTTATTCAAATATTCTTTTCAGGTAAAGAATGCTATTCAGCTTAGGAATAGACGGAGATCATCGGTTAAAGAAACGTCGAAAAGCACGTTGGTAAGCGTAAAACATTTACACCTATAACAATGTCATATATGTACATAACCTAATTTTACAGTTAATTATCTTTTTTCAAACATTTAGAGTTATTTATAGATTTTTTATTAAAAACGAAAGTAATGCCCTTTCAAAGTTATTGGCTGTTTAAAGATCAGCAGAAAGAATATTATATTATAATACAAATGTCTTATTATATGATCTTTATTAAGCTTTTAAATGCTTTTCACTGATTGGCTGAAACGTAATTTTCTCTAGTAAATAACAGGTAAATTTCAGTATATTTTATTACCTATAAATAGATTTGAAATGTCTTTCACTGATTACCAAAGAAGTTACTTTTTGTAAAACAGAACATGTTAATAGCATAGTATATTCACTGTTCTTTTCCTAATAATAGATTTTCAGAGTATTTGCACCGTTTGTTTTTCCCCTAAAATAGACTTCTTAAAATCCTCCAAAGACGTGACGTCATACCCAGATTCCTATTATTTTGAGAAGGAAACGTTGGGTGACTCGCAAATGAAAGTCGATTAGTCTATTTTAGTTGCGTCCTTATGTTTTCTAAGGACAATACGAATTAAGCGTAACCATGCGCTTTTTAAAATATAACGGCCAAATAGTTGAAAAAATTTACAAGCTGAAGAAATGTCGACTTCCGTCGTATTCAATGCCAGATTTGATATGCCATATAAAAACTATAATATATGATATGAGAGAGCTGAAAAGTCCATATTTGCATACATAATGTAATAGCTTATTGTTTAAAGGAGATGGTTGATTTTAAGTTCATCAATTTTGTTTATTTTTCAGAGGAGTACTTCGAAAGATGAAAGGAAGTCGAAAGACCTTAAAGGTAAAAAGTTTGACGTGCCATATTTATATTTTGAATTTTTTAGGTCCAACACGGGCTAACTTTCGTAAACCATTGTAAACCGAAATTGGTTTATTATACACTTCAAATGATTTACGATGCTGTGTTAAGCTAACATCATCTCAAATAATTGTTCGTGAAATCATTGCATGTGTTCCGTTGTTAATCGTTTTAACACCGTATCTGTTTGTATCTGGTTTTTTTTTGTTGTTGTTGTTGTTCTTGATAAATCTAGTGCATTTCAGAAACACTATTATTCTACTTTTCGTTATTCTAGAACCAAGGAAATCATTTATTGATAGTGGCGATTTTACTACTCAAAATGACAGTGATGATTGGAAAGATAAGGTATGTAATATTATATTATATCATTATATTTATTAATGACAATATTTTTGCATCTTTCTTGTTTGTTCAAATAAAATTGCCGGACTGTTAAATCATGTTTAGCCTGTAATTTATTTCACATTTATGACGCTATGATTATTTTTTACATTTTATTTTCGCTATTTTCAGTATTTTCTTGTTATGTTTCCGATTATTTTGCATTTTTCCCACACTAAATGTCGTTTGTTTATCTACATTAAATATCGTTTGTTTATTTTAAACATTTTCTTTTAACTTTAGATGATTGATACTCAATACCCGTCGCCGGATGTGAAGTTTGCAACGCCGCTGGGATTTTATGGAAATGGTAGACGAGCAGCTACATTTTCTGTTGAATCACGGGACAAATTAACTGGCCATGCTCAAACACCTCACAGAAATCCAGTGGTCACTTAGAGGCTAATTTATTTTCGGCAAGACTTTGAAAATGAAGACACATGATTCCATGTTAACCACTATAAGATGTAAAAAGTTTAGTGTTTAAACGTGTGTATCTGTTTTGATGTTGCTTTTTTAACTATATAAACAAAAATAGTAAAATGTGTCAGTTTAAAACATTATCAATATCCTTGTTGTTGATTAGTGCATTTTGTAATCCATATTATTTAAATTGTGCGAGTATTAATTTTTTCCTCAATTGTTATCAAAAGCCAAAACTTCTTGTGCTGTATAAAGTGGCCCATAACCAAATTACCTCCAATTATTCTTGCAAACTTCGCCTTGGGAAAGTTGTGCTCATAGCCGATGCATCGGCATCAAAGTGTCAGGTTAAAGTTGTTTTTTTTGTGATTATAAAGATAATCATTTATTTAACTCTTTACAAGATGTAACCGATTCATATAATATCAAAGTATATAAAGTTGCACATATACAGTTCAAAATCATCAATTTTTCAATTTCAATGTAGTAAATGACACAACATGTCTTAAATAATCCCCTTCCGCATAGCGGATAATAGGAATAGTCTTCGTCTGTCAGTATGTCTGTCAGTCAGTCTGTCTATCCGTCCTTCCGTCTGTCGCACTCACAGGACAGTAAATATGTGGCTAGAGGGACAATAGGTAACTGTTCTTTCTCTGTGATGTCATTCATTCCGTAATGCTTTTATGTGGCCATTTTCTTTTGTGTGGCTGAAAGGAACAATAGAGAGAACAATAGAGTAGCCACATTATTACTCTCAATGGCACAAGAGAATACCATTATATATATATATATATATATATATATATATATATATATATGAATGATTTTACCTTAATTTTTTTATCTTAATTTGATGTTAAACCACAGACATTGTTCAAAATAATAATTAACGTTTGCATAAACCTTACAAAATTGAATACCTGCTGATAAGATTTAAACTTTAAGCAAAGAAGGTATTATTAATGTGGGGCAAAATTACTACAAATCATTTAGTACAGTTTCTCAAACATGGGCTTGGTGCAATTTGGCTCGTCTACTTCAGATAAATTTCCAGATTTAAATACTGAACAAATCTTTATAGATGGTCCTACACCACATTACAAGCAATAGGCAAATTTCTTTCTTCTAACTACAGAGCCAGTGTAATTTGGATTCTCTATTTATAAAATGGTCAGTTTTCGAGTCTGGTTATAGGAGAGGAGTTTCGGATGCTATTCAAAAGTGCTGAATTCATCCATATGTTAACTTTGTACATGGAAGTCTTCGTTATGTTTAGACAATATAAATTCAACGGATACTACTTTGAGATTAATGAAATGGATTGATTGACGTAAACTATTGTGTTTTCCTTTTCGATAATATAATAACTCTCTATAAAACATATACCTTGTCAATTAAATTCCGCTATGTTTGTCTGACAAACCAAATCTTTCTTCATAAATACAATTAAATTCATGATCTATCATTCTGTGCTATTCTTGGAATACAGTAAATCATTGTAAGAGGTTTCTTTGAGACATTAAACTTAGGAACTGTCCCAGTTATAGTAAACGTGACAAGGGTAAAACAAAGCTGCAGTGTCTACACACATATTTGTTGAATGGTATAAAACAAGCTCTAAAATATCTTTAAAAAGAAAATTAATCAGAAGTCCTAATTTATACTTTTCATACAAGCTTATTTTAGAAATATTTATAACAATTATTTGACATTTAAAACAAAACTGAGTTTAAAATATGTTTTAACCATGTTCATACTCGTCCAGGCAATTGCTAGGACACCCGTCCTGAACAAGTTTAGTGATAATTGAGGCGAACATGTAACCAGTAGAGTGCTAACAAGATAAATGTGCACGAACGCAAGACCGATGACAACACATGACCAAAATTTATGATCCTTAAGTCAGCTCAGGAGAGCTCAAAGACCCAAAATCAATGTTCTTTTATGTTTAAGCACATTCATGATCAGTTGTACTTATTCATTTATATGCCAGTTATTTAATACAAATTGTACTAAGCTGCAGTATATCTTCATTGTTATGTAATATGTTAATTTATTATTTCTGAAAAATTAAAACAGAACTTATTTTTTTGGAATTCAGCGTTAGAAAGTCCCCACTTTTTGTTAGTCGTTTTATGAGAAGCTTTAGAAATTGTTTTCTTTCAAAATGTTTCTACTTTCGTATGGTTTGTAAATGAATTAAAACAACAATTCGATTTTGAACAATTCTTGCATATATAGAAATACATTAATTAAAGCGATGTTGCAATATATGTCTTTATCTAAGGCTATAGCTATACGTTTTATTCAACGTATTTAGCCTTCATATAATCCAATTTGTAACCAAACATTTGTATTTATATTAAGAATATCACCGTTTATTGATATCTATCTTACCTTGCTTAACGAGACAATATTCATATGGAAAAATGATGACCATTGGTCATATACTTATAGATTATACAGTGGAAAAGAGGAATTGCTTAATAACATTGAGATGCATTATATATCCAGCAAATGACAAATATGTCAACAAATGTAATAAATTCGCTTATTAATTTTTTAAAGACATGTACCTATCGCCACTGATTCAGAAGTAATGTGTGATTACTAGTCAGTCATTTGCGAAAAAAAAAACAGTAATAACTGGTTAGTTTTAAGGAAAGCCGGATAGGTAAACCAACTGCAAAAATATGGCCACACATGTGGTCTAATTGGTACAAAAACCACAAACAATAAATATTTGAAAATAGTCAAATAAAGGGGAAAATATCACATTCACTTATATTACCCAATACAAATATTGTCTATGTTTAAAAGCAATAATAAATCAAGTCAAATTATAAATCAACTCTCATCGTATCAATTCTTGTATAATGTAAACGTTACATGAAAAATTCCAAAATCAGACATTTTTTAAAGATAGGATGTAAATGTTCTCAGTGATGAAGCTATATCTACCAGAAATGCTTGTTGGTTAGAATACGCCCTAAAGAAACAAAACCAATGGATTAGTTTATCTCAAATACTTTTAGATTCGCTTTATTCAACTATCTTTAGAAACCTTACGAACTAGGCCGAAAAACAACAACAACACCATGTAACTTTTTATGTATAAATACATACATATTATATAAGGTACACAATCGTGAACAATTTACGAATTTTCATCTAGAATAAAGCGCAAACACATAACCGTAATTAAACTTCTACTTCGTATTCACATGAAGAGCATAATGAAGAGCATACTGTGAATTCAAACGTTTCTTTATTCTTAAAACCCTTTTCGAGTACATTTTGAGGTCATTTTTTATGCAGCTTATATAAATTACGATTTTCCAAAATATTGTCATTAATTAAAACATAAATTCTTATTATGTATAATTTTATGTATAAATGAATTGTTACGATGATGAGCTACATGCTAGTCCTAAATAAATTTAGGTCTATTCTGTTCTATGAATGTAATCTTTTTTTTAATATTATTTGAAAAATAGAATTCCTACCGTTGATCGGACTAGCAGTTGTCAATGAGAAACAGAAATAACACAATTGCAGTTGTTCAGATTACACGTTTTTGTTTGAATATTCATGTTTAATACATTTAATGGGTTTTTCATTAAGATAATGCATTTATTATTTTTTGCGAGAATTTTCTTATAACAGATTAAACAGAACAGTAAATGTATTTTCAGACTTGATTATTACAGCTTATCAATAACAACCACTGATGATTACGGACCCTGCACCAATAAAAATTAGCTTTTTATTACCCTTTAACTTTTCTTGATGGTAAAAGACATTTATTTCAAATATCAGAAAGTTTTACTATCCATCTTTTTTTTAAATTTTCTTAGTGAAATCAAAACCTCTTCATCATGTTCATATTTCTCTCCTATTTTAATTTGCAATGGTATCTTTAGAAATTGTTGTATGCATATGATTTTTATTATAAATTTAGAACGTAAAATTAATAAAATGACTTTTAAGTAACAATTTAAACATTTCTTTTTCACATTTATGTTCATCTGAAATAATTTTATGCGAGTTAAATAAACACCATTTTTACAGAATCAATAACAATGACGCATATGTCCAAACAACTAAAACCGATGCTTATGTGTAAGGGATCTAATTAGTCTTTAATCTATAACATATTTAAAGGTATAAAATAGGCGTTATTTTGGCTTTAACAGTTTGATACATATGAACTCGAGAGTCTGATTTTTAACCCTAAGCAGGTTACACAATCGAACTAAAATAAAATCTGTATAAATACATGTTGTATTATTGAATACTTCTGTGGCAAATATTTAATAGTTAATTCCGCTATCAGTTTAGTAATGTCTATGTCATTACAGCATACCAGAAAAACTTGTTAAGATCATGCAAGGATTATACTACAGCAACAATGCCAGGTCATCCATAATTCCACACTTTCACCATCCTTCAGTGTACACACAGGAGTAGTCAGGATTGTTTACTGTCATCTCTAATATTTTTGGTTGTCATCGACTAGATTATAAGAATCTCCATGACACCACCTAGAGACATCCAATGGTAACTCACTGCCAAGCTTGAAGATCTAGACATATTGAAGGTAATTTGAGTCTACTAACCAATCAATACCGAAAACAATAGCTCTTCACAACACGGCAAAATCAACAGCCCTGGAGATCAACACCTCTAAAACCAAATCTTTAAGAAAAAACACCCTGAACAACTCTGCTAGCACACTAAACGGTCAATTAATCGAAGACGTCAATCAGAATCTAGGAAGTATCGTCTCTAAGAATGGAAGAGCCGACAATGAAATCAAGTCAAGACTTGGTAAAGCCAGGCATGTCTTTGTGACCCTCAGACCAATTTGGAAGAACAAGAATTTCAGCCTTCAGACTAAGCCGAGCATTTTTGATACCAATGTCAAATCAGTTCTTTTGTATGGATCAGAAACCTGGAAACAACACCGAGCAGGATCTGCAGGTATTCGTCACACAGATCCTACATATCAGATGGCCAGAGAAGATCAGCAACTCAGAACTGTGGAATAGAACACGCCATTCATCAATCAAAATATCATCAAATAAAGAAAACGGCATTGGATATGACATATTCTGAGGCGACCCAAAGCAACATCATAAGGCAAGCTCTGGGTGGTAATCCTCATGGCATAAGAAGAAGAGGTAGACCAACATCCACCTGGAGACGAACTATGACGCTGAGCTGAAAAGTTGCAACATTACGTTGACAGAAACAAAAACAGCAGCAATGAACCGGCCTAGATGGAGAGCTGTTGTAATGCCCTTTGCCCCACAAGAGGATAACAGGATTAAGTTAGGTTAGGTTAGAAATGTTTATTTAAAGCAAACAAGACAAACGTGAATTTTATCTCTCGTCATAACC